GACTTTGATCCCAGTACTTAGGAGGCAGCAACAGGGGGTTTCTCTGTGTAGCCCTGACTGTCCTGGAACTCTCTGTAGACCAGGATAGCCTTGAACTCAGAGATCTGCCTGCCCCTGCTGGTCTTAAAGGCATATGGTGCCTTGTCTGGCTCGTGATGGGGGTTTCTTGATTTTAATTTATTATTATTATTAGTGTGTGTGTGTGTATGATGGGGGTGTTTGCTGCACGTACGTGTACAGAGGTCAGAGAACAACTCTGTCTCGGTGGCTCAGCACTCTCCTCTGCCTTCCCATGGGTTCTAGGACGGCACACAGGCTTATGGGACACCAGCTCCATGATGCTTTTTTTTTTTTTTTTTTTTTTTTTTGGTTTTTTTCGAGACAGGGTTTCTCTGTGGCTTTGGAGGCTGTCCTGGAACTCATTTGGTAGTCCAGGCTGGTCTCGAACTCACAGAGATCTGCCTGCCTCTGCCTCCCGAGTGCTGGGATTAAAGGCGTGCGCTACCATCGCCCGGCTATATCTCTGGTTTTTATTCATCCTCCATGACTGAAGCTCTGTTCCCTTTGGCCTCCATTCTCCCATTCCTCCTCCCTCTACCCCTGCCACTCATGACCAACGTGCTACTCTCATCTCTCACAGGGGTCTCAGGCTCCTAGGCAGTATGAAGGGACGAGATGCATCACTTGTGGTGTTCAACAAGAAATCAGAGGTGAAGCTCAACGAATTCATCATGTCTGTGATCGAGACGTCTGTGCAGGAGGCTCAGGGGTCCCCGAGCAGAAAACTGCTTGCAAGCTGAGCACTTAGGAGATCTTGGTCAGAATTGGATGATGCTTCCTATATTGTCAAATGTGGTGCCTTTAAGACACCTCCCAGGGTGGGGAAGGATTTAGAGCACTGGCTGCTCTTACTGATGACCGACCAGAGTCCCATTCCCAGCCCCAACACGGTGGCTCATAACTAACTGTTACAGATAGTGCTTGGGGCTCCAGGGTTCTCTTCCGACCTCTTGGGCATTGCATGCACACGGTGCACACACATACACTCATACATACAAAGCAAAACAAATAAATTCTAAAAAATTAAACACCAGCCGGGCATTGGTGGCGCACGCCTTTAATCCCAGCACTCGAGAGGCAGATTTCTGTGAGTTCAAGACCAGCCTGGTCTACAGAGTGAGTTCCAGGACAGCCTCTAAAACAATACAGAGAAACCCTGTCTCGAAAAGCCAAAATAAAATAAAATAAAAAATTAAACACCTCCCAAATAAGCTGCAAATAAAGCAATCTGTTCAATTTTTTTTTATTGTTGTTGTTGCTGTTGTTTAATTGCAGTATGGGAAAAAAATACTGCTTTGACAGTCTGTTCCTAGAAGTTTGTCCTGGTTAGGGTTTTTTGGGTTTTGTTTTTGCTTTGTCAACTTGACACAAGCTAGAGTCATTTGGGGGGGGGAGGGAACCTCAATTGAGAAAATGCAGTCACAGATTGGCCTGTGGGACATTTCCTTCATTGCCAATACAGGCAGCACCAGCTCACTGTGGGCAGTGCTATCCCTGGGCAGGTGATCCTGGGTTGTATAATAAAACAGGCTGAACGAGCCACGGGGAGCAAGCCAGTGAGCATTGTCCCTCCCATGGTTTCTGTCTCAGTTCCTGCCCTCGAGTTCCACCCAGACTTCCCTCAGTGATGAGCTGTGATCTAAGAGTTGTTAGCCGAAATAAACCCTTCCCTTCCCGAGCTCCTGTCGGGCATGATGATGCTTACTTATCAAGCAGTGGGGGCCTTAAGTAGGGCAGCATCATTCCACAGTAGAAGCCAAAGGTACAGCATGAATACGATCTGGGAGATCTGAAGCTGGGCCTGGTGATGGAGCAGGCGGATCTCCTGAGTTCCAGGCCAGACAGGGCTCTATAGTGAGACCGTGTGTGTGTGTGTGTGTGTGTGTGTGTGTGTGTGTGTGTATAGTCACCCCCAAATAATGTTTTGGGATCTGAATTAAGAGTACTCTCATAACTTGGCATTGGTGGCACACGCCTTTAATCCCAGCACTCGGGAGGCAGAGGCAGGAGGATCTCTGTGAGTTCGAGGCCAGCCTGGTTTACAGAGCAAGTTCCAGGACAGCCTCTGAAGCTACACAAAGAAACCCTGTCTCAGAAAACCAAAAAAAAAAAAAAAAAAAAAGAGTACTCTCATAAGTGGAACCAGGTTGGGATTGTGCAAAGTCTCTGACATGATAGCTTAGGGACAGAGAGGAGGAGGTGAGATCTTGGTGGTCTTTCATAGTCCCCTGCCATTCTAGAATAACTGCCAGTCCCGGTACAGCCCTGCGCTTTTGCCAATGGGAACAGTTCACCCGTCTGAAGCTTCTTCCTTGACTTCATTTTCCACCAAGAGCCTATCACATACCAAACACTGTTAGGCGCTGGAGCATAGCCCACGGTTCATGATTGCATGTGACGGGCATTTAGTAAACTTGGACCGTTTTTTATCTAAAAGCACAAGACACTAGCTTGGGTTGTATCTAGGATCTAAAGAGATTTTAAGCTGTACAGAGAGGAATGAATTATTTATAAGGCTGCCAAGATCACAGAGTTGAAGAGTCGACCGTACAATAGCATTCAGTTACGAGTGTATTATCCCATGGAGTCTCAGAGGCAATACACCTGTTGGTCGATTCGGTATACGTTTTGAGCAATTTATGCCACGTACTAATCAATTTTCTACACAGTCCAACTTGTTGGCAAGCATTTAATGTTTCTTCCAGAACCACACTCATGAAAACTTACAACAAGCAAGGGTTGAAAAAGGGAGAGTTTAACTTATATGAATTGTTAATACAGTGATCAAATGTCTTCTAAATGAGAGAAGTAAAGCCCCCATCCCATTAATTAGATACATTTGCACTCCTTGAGTTACATTCCTGGTGTGTGTGTGTGTGTGTGTCTGTGTGTGTGTCTATGTTAGTGTGTGTGTCTGTATCTGTATGTGTCTGTGTTTGTCTGCCTGTGTGTCTGTATTTATTTATGCGTATGTCTGTGTTTGTATGTGTGTCTTTATCTGTATCTGTGTGTGTCTCTGTGTGTCTGTGTGTTTGTGTATGTGTCTCTATCTGTATCTGTGTGTGTGTCTGTGTGTGTGTTTGTGTTTGTGTCTCTATCTGTATCTGTGTGTGTCTGTGTGTGTGTGTGTGTGTGTGTGTACCCACGCTCGTGCTGGACATTGAGCCCAGGGCCTCGGGCACACTGCCCACCTGCTCACTGATCTACACCCACAAAGTGTTCTGCTTTTTAACCCAAGCCACTGCTGAGAGTGGATGAGAGAAGCTGTGATAACGTTATCTCCTGAGAGTATCAGCTTTTCTTGTGTTTCTCATGTGGATACCGGTGAGGAATTACTATGAAACAAGTGCAAAAAAAATCATTCTGGCATTATAAAATGAGACACAAACCATGAAAACAATTTCTAAGTGCATTGGCATCAGTGGGGCCTGTTGAGGTCTGAGGGATCTGAACTCTGTTTTTCTTTTAATTTTTTGAACTTTTAAAAATTTATTTATGCATCTTTTTTTTATCACTGCTCTGTCTGCATGGCCAGAAGAGGGTATCCGATCTCATTACAGATGGTTGTGAACCACCATGTGGTTGCTGGGAATTGAACTCAGGACCCCCCCAGTGCTCTTAACCTCTGAGCCGTCTCTCCAGCCCCCGGATCTGAACTCTTTTGGGAAAAAGATCGGCAAGCACTGTGCATTAGGAATAAATTTTCGGTGTCTTTACATTGTCAGTTGACAAGGTATTTGAATTGTTTGCACATACGGTTTTAAGTTTTGTCTACTTCCTCTCTGTTTGCCCATCTACGGAAGGTGGGAATCTCGATGGTCACACAGCACAAAAACAACAGCAACGTGTTTCTGAGGAAGACGTACTGGCTGAGCTCTGATGCAGCTTGCGTGATAATCTTGTGGTCTGTGCCACAAAACAGAACAAAAATCAACAATCACTGCGGGATGCTAACGCCGGAAAAAAAAAAGGGAATTAGAAGATAAAATTCCCCTTAAAGTGAGCCTTGATGAAGGCTACAAACTGCCTGAAGAATCCTCCTAAAAAATGCTAGCAATTGCCGGGCGTTGGTGGCGCACGCCTTTAATCCCAGCACTCGGGAGGCAGAGGCAGGTGGATCTCTGTGAGTTCGAGGCCAGCCTGGTCTACAAAGTGAGTTCCAGGACAGCCTCCAAAGCCACAGAGAAACCCTGTCTCGAAAAACCAAAAAAAAAAAAAAAATGCTAGCAATTTATAATCCAAGAAGTGTGAAACCCACTCACTGTCGAGTTCATATATCTATGTCTGTTTTTCTACAGCATTTATCACTGTCAGAATGCTCTTAATAACATGTCTCAGGTGCTTATACTCCAGTCTCAGCTTCCGCGAGTTACACGAGCGTCTGCGTGCAGTAAAGTTAAGTAGATGATTAAAACGTGCTGGCAGGATTTCTCTACAACAGTGAGCGATGACTGCTTTTCATCACGCACATATGCCTCGAGAATACAGAAGTCGGGGACTTGTGTGTGTGTGTGTGTGTGTGTGTGTGTGTGTGTCCTCTTGAAAACCTCTGGAGGAACCTAGTGTATGGGAGAGTGTGTTCTCCGCATTTTGTCATCCGGCGATGCGGAACCGTCCACAGGAGAGCAGACTAGAACTTTCAATGGGACATTTCTCATTTACATGGCGGACGAAAGTCGCAGCTAGCCCGGTTAGTGATTTAGCGCCAAGAACCCTCCTTGTTCCTACCGGGTAAGGCAGCACCCAGCTCTTGTCCCCTGCGTCCTGCAGCGGGCAGGCGCACCGCGATGGACACTTCAGTCCCGGTGCTCTCCTCCCTCCGGAAAGGACCTTGCCCCCAGGGCTGCACCCTCTGGATCTCGGGGGCAGACAGCACTCAGCGTCCTCCACCCGCCCCTCCCCGCCGCCGGAGTGGATGCAGTGTGGGGACCCTGGCTCACCTCCGCTGCGGAACCTGCCGTTGTCGCCCGCCTTGTTGAGGGCGCTGCTGGAGCAGCCCATCGCGCAAAAGTGCGGTCACCTGGCCCAGCCTCACGCGAGTGTCGGTCGGTCGCGGGGCTAGGATGCGATGCTCGTCGCGGACCCAAGCAGCTGAAGTTTCTCCCAACTGTTGTGCGATCTTGCAAGAGTTCAAAGCGCACACGCGCAGCGGGGGGTCCTGCAGGGTACACCGTGCTCACCTGGAGAGGCAGCGAGCGAGAAACGCACAGGTGGAGAGCACCAGAGAGGGCAGAGTGCCAGACGACTGGACGACCAGCTGGCAAGAGAGCGCAGGGACAACTCAAACCAAGGAACCAGCTGGACGGGAGGCGGAGGGTGCAGGGAAGGGAAATGGGGAAAAGGCTCGGGCCGGAGATGAGAGAAGAGAGGGGATGATGTGAATAATCGTCCTAAATAGCCGGGGAGGGGTGGCGGCGGGGGCAGCCAGAGGCTATTGATTGGTAGACTAGATGTGTGATGACAGTCTTATCCTCTTACATAACTCCAACATAGTTACCGCAAGGAAGTTCAACAACGGACACCAGACTGTTAGACCTGACCTCAGTTTCAGTCTCTTGACCCATTCGCAACTCATTTAAACCCATCGCTTTGGTGCCCTGCGTCTCTTTGTGGTTTGCTTCGATCTGGGGCGGTTCCCCTAATCTTACATTGTCTTTTTTAATTAATTAAGAAATAATTATTTTTAATTTGTTTCTTATTTGAGACAGGCTCCCTACATAGTCCTGGCTGTGCTGGAACTCACTCTGTAGACCAGGCTGACCTCGAACTCACAGAGATCCGTCTGCCTCTGCTTCCTGAGTGCTGAAATTAAAGGTGTGGGCCATTCATTAATTTGCATTTTATGTGTCTCTGTGGCCTGTGCACCACCTGGGTGACTTGAGCCCACAAAGACCAGAAGAGGGTGTCGGATCCTCTGGAATTGGAGTTAAGAGATGATTATGAGCCTCTACGTGGGAGCTGGGAGCCTAACCTGGGTTGTTCGAGGGCCTTAATATTAAGAACAGGCTAGTTAGCCGGGTGGTGGTGGTGCACTCCTTCAATACCAGCAATCGGGAGGCAGAGGCAGGCAGGTGGATCTCTGAGTTCGAGCCCAGCCTGATCTACAGAGCTAATTCTAGGACATCCAGGACTACACAGAGAACACCTGTTTCAAAAACAAAAACAGGCTATTAGTTTTAGTCAACATTTCTTGATTTGGTTTTGTTCGATTTGTTCAAGATTGTTTCCACGTGATGTAGTTTTGTCAGCTGTGATGCCCATTCATTCTTAAGGAGTCACCCATACCAGAGTGTCCTGATATTGTGAAATTAAAGTAGTATTCACTGGGTTTCTCCCCTGTAGTGTCACTATTTTATTCTTTAGGTTAAGTAATACCCTGTTTCCCATTAAACTATTGTAACTACTTTTAACCTATTATCTCTTATATGGACCAATTATTACTATTATTGAACAGTGAACTTCTACTTATACTATTCCTTCTACCTTTGTTAATGGCATTCATCTTTACCCCCGCTTAGTGGTTTACACAAGTAGGTACCCACAAACTCTTACATTACTCAATGTGTCTCATTAGCATCTGTGTTGGTTTGCTGGGGCTGCTATAACAAAACTTGATAGACTGAGTTCCTTGAGCAACAGAAACTTATTTGCTCACAGTTCTAGACTTTAGATCAAGATGCCAGCCACAGGCTGGCTTCTTCTCAGGCCCTCTCCTTGAGTAGTAGATGGCTTTCCTTTCCACATATCTTCTACATGTCTATGTCTCAATACTCCCTTTTATGAGACTGCAGAACGGTTGGTTTGGGGACCTGTCATTCTGACTTCACTTGACATTAAATAACATCTAAAAATCCTGTCTGTAGAAACAGTCTCATTAGGAGGGCCATCTTCTTCATATCAATTTGGATGCAGGGACATGGTTCGTGGCATAGAAGCCTTTTTCATTCTCAAGCTTTTAAAAATAAAAGTCATGAGCCAGGAGGTGGTGGTACATACCTTGAATCCCAGTACTAGGGAGGGAGAGACAGGCTAATCTCTGAGTTTGAGTCCAGCCTGGTCTACAGAACCGGTTCCAGGATAGTCAGAGCTACACAGAGAAACTCTGCCCAAAAAAACCAAATGATAAATAAATGAATAAATAAATGCCACTTTAAATTTTCCTAGTGAAGGCTTTAAAAAAAAGCCTTTTTCTCAGTAAGATTTAATTTACATATTAACTAAAAGCAAATATGTGACTTTAAACTCCCTAACTCAGCCAGGCTTTGGTGGTGCACGCCTTTAATCCCAGTACTTGGGAGGCAGAGGCAGGTGGATTTCAGTGAGTTCGAGACCAGCCTGGTCTACTGATTGACTTCTAAAACAATAAGGAGAAACCCTGTCTTGAAAAACCAAGAAAATAAAAAATAAACTCCCTAGACTCTACATTTTATGCTAAACTAGGATTTAGTGAACTTCTCCATTTTCCTCATCAACCAGTTTTAGGAATTACCTGAAGCACCCTCAGGGATAATTTGGTTTTTTTGTTTGTTTGTTTGTTTGTTTGTTTTTATGAGACAGGGTTTCTCTGTATTGTTTTGGAGGCTGTCGCTCCAGCCTGTCCTGGAACTCACAGAGATCCGCCTGCCTCTGCCTCCCGAGTGCTGGGACTAAAGGCGTGCGCCACCACTGCCCGGCTAGGGATAATTTGTTAACTGACCTTCGCATCTCCTATTTATCTTCAGAGAAGGCACTCAGTGGTCAGGTGTCTTTCTTAGGGTTTCTAATGCTGCGAAGAGACACCACAGCCACAGCAACTGTTACAAAACAATACAGAGAAACCCTGTCTCAGAAAAACAAAGCAAACAAACAAACAAAAAAAGATACCTGCCCAAGGTAAGACTGAGGTCCTGCCCTATGCTTTGCAGTTTGCTTTACACGTGCTGTTTCTCCCAGGACTAGTCTTACATAGGGTATCTTGACTAGCCTGTCCATTTGTGGAGCTGAAAAATTGACTGCTTTTCTCCTTCACTGAGCTTCTTCCTCTTGTCTTAACACGAGTCTGCACTGCACAAAGCCTGCCTCTTCCCGGCCGACCTCAACAATCACCTGCTCCGCCTTTAGTCTTCTTAGTTTTACCGCCTGAATGGCACTTCAATCATGGAGTCAGTCCTGCTAAGGTCTAGGAGCCTGCTAAGTCTGGGTCCTTGTTACACAACTGACATCTTACAAGATAACAGTTTGAAAATACAATACTAAACAAGAATGGTTTATTACTTAAAAGGAACGTTTCATGTGATAATTATTAATGCATGCATGCTATAAAATAGTCCAGTGGCAATGAGGTTTACACAGTAAAAACAAATGTCCTTAAAAAAAAAAACAGAGCTGGTGTGGTTTAATCCCAACACTCAGAGGCAGAGGCAGGTGGATCTCTGTGAGTTCAAAGCCAGCCTAGTCTTCTCTCATGAAAACTGTTTTGAAGCAAACTACACTTGTCATTATCCATTCTTTTGGTTTTGCTTTCACTCTCCTTTTAAAGGCTTTATTTGTCCCTGCCCTCAAATTTCAGTTAATATTTCAATCCTGACTTTTTTTGACACATGGTTTTAGGTAGCCCAGGCTGGTCCTGAATTTTCTATGCACACAAGGATAGCCTTGAACTCCTAATTCTCCTATCTTCACATCCTGATTGCTGGGATCACAGGCATGGGAGACCACATTTGGTCTTACTTAGCACTTGAAAAATTATTTAACCACTTTCTTTCAAGTTTTATCCTCTATAAAAAAGATTAATATGGCTGGGAGGTGGTAGTGCACACCTTTAATCCCAGCAGGCAGAGGGATCTGGTAGTTCAAGGTCAGCCTGGACTACACAGTGAGTTCCATGACCTGCTGCTCCGTAGCTGAGAAACCCTGTCTGCATATATGCCTGAAGGCCAGAGGAGGGTACCAGATCTCATTACAGATGGCTGTGAGCCTCCATGTGGTTACTGAGAGTTGAACTCAGGACCTCTGGAAGAGCAGCCAGTGCTCTTAACCTCTGAGCCGTCTCTCCTGCCCCCAACCTCAGCAATTCTTGAAAGTGCCTTAAAGGTATGTAATACAAAGGACCCCCGTGTACTACATCATTTAGGACCAGTGCATGATTGATACATGGTGTCGTTTGGGATGAGTACGTAACTGGTACAGGGTATCATTTGGGATGAGGACACAGCGTCCTTAACATTTTCTCCATACAGCAGGTTAGACTCATACCGTGTCTTGGCACATCAGTTTTGAGTATGGCTCATTGTCATCAAGTCTCTCCTAAGAATATTTATTTCAGAACGGGGAAAGGTGGGAGGCACATGCACAACTGAATGTCTAATGTGAACGGGAGGACCTCAACAGTCCCACACCGTACCTGAGAACGGCAGTGCAAGGTGTTCCTGAGCCGCCACGCCTTTCCATAATACCAAGACAACCACAAGCCAAACAGGTCATCAAAGAAAAGAGGGGGATTAAAAAAGGGGTGGGGTACTTTTAACCCGTAACGGCACAACTCTAATCTAGGCTTATTTCATTGAATTTTCAGAGGAGCTATTGGTTAGTTTTCAGGTTCATTTCAAGATTGGTATGTTTACAGAACTAGAATAATGGAAGGCAGGTATCTGGATTTGCATAACCTTAAGTAATTTATGCCTAAATGTTAAAGCAAATAGTATGGTAATCTAACACTACTGTTTGTTCAAATCCATGTTAAAATGGGCCACAAGAGTTGAATAAGTTTTAATTGTAGAATTAGCTAATTTAAAGGCCTGGTTCTGTTCCTATTTCTGCAGTACATTAGCTGTAAAAACTTTAGAATAACAAGGTTACTATCTCATAGTGTGTGTGTGATATATATATATATATATATATATATACATATATATATAGAGAGAGAGATGGTGGTTAGGTAACTTATAATTTCCAGCTTTTTTTTTAAATTTAAGATCAATTTACAGAGATTGTCTGCCTCTCCTGGGATTAAAGGCATAGGCCACTATGACTGTATGGCCTTGTAGAAATGTTTGAAATTACTATTATTATTTTTTTAATTTATTTATTATGTGTACAGCATTCTGCCTGCATGTATCCCTGCAGGCCAAAAGAGGGCACCAGATCTCATTGCAGATGATTGTCAGCCACCATGCAGTTGCTGGGAATTGAACTCGGGACCTCTGGAAGAGCAGCCAGTGCACTTAACCTCTGAGCCATCTCTCCAGCCCTTGAAATTATTTTTATGTCAGGGTGATGCAAGCCTTTAATCCCAGACAGAGGCAGGAGGATCTCTGTACATTAGATTTCAGCCTGGCCTACAAAGTTCCAAGACAGCCAGGGCTGTTACACCGAGAAACCCTGTGTCAAAAAACAAAGAAACAAATTATTACAGGGGTGGGGAGTGAATGTTCTTCCGTCTCCCAACCTCCAGGGCAAAGTAATACAACATACATACAGGGTTTCTCTATGGCTTTGGTAATTTGTGTGTGTGCTTTTTTGTTTGCTCGTTTGTTTTTTTCGAGACAGGGTATCTCTGTATTGTTTTGGAGGCTGTCCTGGAACTCGCTCTGTAGACCAGGCTGGCCTCGAACTCAGAGATCCGCCTGCCTATGCCTCCCAGGTGCTGGGAGTGTGTGCTTTTTTTGCTAGTGCGGAAGCTTGCGCTGTTGGGCCGATTTCTGGTGGGCTTCCTTGGTGGTTGTCCACCTTATTTTCTCACAGGGTCTCTTTCTTACTGGGGCTTACAGGCGAGGCTCGGTTGGCTGGCCACCTGGCCTCGGGGATCTGTCTATGCTCCGGCAATGGAATTACCAGCCTGCACACGTATGCCACACTTCTTGGAAGGGATGGGAACGGGGGAGGCTGAGGCGTAGAACTAGGGTCCTCACACCTTTCCCGGATGAACGCTCTCAAAAGCCCCGGGTTTGTTGGTTCTAGTAGAGTAGCGAAAGGGTTTTCTGTCTTCTTTCCCCCCCTCCCTTGAATATCTCATTTATACGACTGTCCACGCTTCACAGCTAAAGGATTAAAAAGTATATATATTTAAATTTATGATTTATATATTTTCAAAAAGCATATAAATATATATTTTATATTAAAAACTTTAAAGTACGGCTACTTCTCTACTTTCGAACACAGAAGCGCGCGCCAGGGGTGCAGATCGGAGCTCGCGCGGCGGCAGCAGGAGGCTCTCCCTCCCCTCCCGCCACGTGGGTCTCCGTGCTGCGCGCATCCGCTCGGCGGGAAAGCGCAGTGACCCGCCGAGACCCCTCGCCGGGCTTGGGGTTTGTCGCTTGCGGTCCCTGGGCAGCAGAGGCTCTAGGAGGAAGTCTCCTACGGTCCATCGGCGGCGGCGGGTGGCGGAGGCAGGGAGAGCGGCGTCCGGGTGGAATCCTCCCGGGGCTCGCCCGACTTCCGTTCTTCCGCGGTCCGGGCCACGGAACCAAACAGTCCCAGTAGCAACACACGGCGGCGGTCCGCTCCTAACCAGGTCCCTTCCGGTGGCGATCGGCTTTCCCCAGGGAGCTCACCGGTCCCCATAGCAACAACAGCCGGGGGCGGCGGTCCGTTCCTAACCAGGTCCCTTCCGGTGGCGGCGATCCGCTTCCAGCCACCGAGCTAACCGGTCCGCTGCTAACCAGGTTCCCTTCCGGTGGCGATCCGCTTCCAGCCGCCGAGTTCAGCGGTCCCCATAGCAACAACAGGTGGCGGCGGTCCGCTTCCGACCAGGTTCCTTTCCGGTGGCGGCGACCCGCTTGCAGCCACCGAGCTAAGCGGTCCGCTCCTAACCAGGTTCCCTTCCGCCGGGCGACCGGCGCCCACTTCCGCTTCCGGTCCCAGCGTGCTCCGGGTGTGGTAGAAGAGCCTGGCGTGCTGCGCGCTCCTTCCTTTCTCGCTGCCCGGCCATCTTGGCGGCTGCGCTTGGTGAGGGAGCTCGGGCCGGGGCGTGGGGTGGGGGAGGATCGGGCTCGGGGCGCCCCGCTGGCCTTCGACTCGGTGGTTCCGGATGCTCACCCTCTGTCTGCCCTCTCCCGTGTGCTAGGTTTGGGGGCCCGCGCCGCACCGGAGGCAGGAAAGATGGTGGCCGCAAAGAAGACGGTGAGTGAGAGCCGGCCGGGGCCCGGAAGCAGCTTCGCGTGGACGGATGGATGGACGGACGGGGCGGACGTGGGCCCGGGGTTGGGTAGATGGGAGCCCCATGCGGGGTCCCGGGGTTGCAGAGTCACCACCACCCGTGCTGGGACTCAAGTTGCAGACGCCCCGGGGTGCCGGGATTGGGTTCTGCACCACGGTTCTCAGGCCCCCTCTCTCCCGTTGGCTCGGCGTTTGTAGAAGAAGTCCCTGGAGTCCATCAACTCGAGGCTCCAGCTGGTGATGAAGAGCGGCAAGTACGTGCTGGGCTACAAGCAGACGCTCAAGATGATCCGGCAGGGCAAAGCCAAGCTGGTCATCCTCGCCAACAACTGCCCGGCCTTGAGGTGAGGGAGGGAGGCGAGGGAACCCGAGTGTGGGCGGAGGACCGTGAGGTGAGGGTGGGTGCTCGCTGGTGTTTGCACCTTGGTGTGTGTGTGTGAGAGAGAGACACACACACAGAGAACCAGTGTATACATCTGAATCAGTCTACACCCTGCAGGGGACACCAGAAGAGCTGTCTCCACTGAGGGGAAGGGGGTAAATTCTGGTTCAGAGGAGACCTCTCTAGACCTCTCTCTCGTGTTCTTCTTGGAGCGTCCCTGTGGGGCACTGCCGCATGGTGACAGGAGGGACTCAAACGACGCACGCTCAGGGAAGCCACGGGTGGGGGAAGATATCATGTGTCTTTCCTGCGCTCTCTTCCCCTCCCTGTTTTTTGTTTTTTTTTTTTTTGGACCCATCTTCATTCTAAGTTTGGAGCATTAAGCTCTATCGCACGTGCCTGTTGTAGTCTAGAAAAGTCACGCCTGGTTTATGGAGGTGGCAGTGTCGTGCGTCCTGCTTCCTGAACACGTGTTTATTCTTGTTTTTGTTTTTTTCCGGAGACGGGTTCTTTTCCTCTGTGTAGCTCTGGCTGTCCTGGAGCTAGCTCTTTAGACCAGGCTGGCCTCGAACTCTCACAGAGATCCGCCTGCCTCTGCCTCCCTCCCTAGTGCTGGGATTAAAGGCGTGTGCTGCCAATGCCCGGCCCTATGTTTATTCTTGATTGACTGCTTTAACTTGAGTAAACTAGAACTTTAGATAGTGTAAGCCCCTTGCTTTTCCTGTGGCAGTTGACCTAGTGTCGGGTGCCTGTTCTTAGTGGCCGGATTCGCAGTGTTTGGTCCTCACTTTAATCCTTTCAAAGTTTGTGTGGGTGGGGGGGGTTTCTTGTTTATTTTTTTCTAACCTGCCCTTTATAGTAACAGGACAGGCATCCTTTGTGAAATGCAAGCTCAGGCTCAGTGGGTCCAGGATGTGGTTCAGGCCCCGTTTCTCATAAGGTCCTTGTGGCACTGTTGGTGTGTGGGACTTCAAATCCATTCGTGTCCGTTGAGTTGGCACTGAAGTGTTTACTCTGTTTACTCTTTAAGTGGTAGTGCCAATGTCCTTGTGTAGTCTTCAGGGTGTTAGTGGATAGTCAAGATAGCTTAAATTGTTTTTTTTAAGGTTTCCTACCCTTCACTCTTAGCCATCGTTTCTCTCCCTCTCTCTCTGTGTGTGTGTGAGAGACAAAGACTGAGTGCTTGTGACCTTGGGAATCCAGGAGTGGGTGTCAGAACTGGAGTTGTGAGGTGGTCATGAGCTGTGAGCCCTGGGAGCTGAACTTGGGACTTGTAAGCAGTACCTAGCTTTTGTTATCCAGGTTGCTATCCAAGGTTGACTTCCTCATGTCTGTCACACCCTTTTCTACTAAATCAGATTAACTCTTTAGGCTTTAAGCACCCTTACCCATTTTAAACTCATTTAGTAATCTGAAGCCTGAATACAATACACTTAGAACTGAATGCCACCTGAACAAAGTGGGTGTTCAGTAGGTAATTTGCAGGCTACTCTTGGACGTTTGGCTATTGTTGAAAGACTTAATCAGTTTGTGGTAAAAGTCTGTCAGTATCTTGATTTTATTTGGTTTCTTGTTGTTCCCAAAGGAAATCTGAAATCGAGTACTATGCCATGTTGGCTAAGACTGGTGTCCATCACTACAGTGGCAATAACATCGAGCTGGGCACAGCGTGTGGGAAATACTACAGAGTGTGCACACTGGCTATCATTGACCCAGGTATGCCTTTTAAACCGCGCAGTGTCTTCCTAACGTCGGTGCCTCCCACCAGGCAGTGGCATTGGTGTCTGAGTTTAGACCATTAGAATTTTAATAGTGAAAGAGATGCCATACTTTTATTGTGTAGAGAATTGAGGGTGCATGCCAGTATATTGTAAATTGGCTTTGCTGTAAATAAGAAAAGTTCAACTTAAGTATACGAATTTCATTTAATAAGGCACTTAATATTGTTTGTTAGTGGGTGGGAATAGGTGAAATAAGTAATCTTTGTTGCTTGGGAATAAACAACTTGGGATGAGTGCCTATAAATGCACATTCTTGGGTTGAGAGCTTTAGTCGCCTTGTAGAACACTGCGAATATTCTCGCTGTTCTGATTCTGTGATAATCAGGGCAGGCTAGACATTCGCTATAGTAAGACCATGCATGTGTCCCCAGGCCTGGTTCTTTACCTAGGTCTGGCTTTCTAAATGCTGGTGACAAGCCCGGTCTGACTTGTTTGTTATATTGTTCTGTGTGTTCGTAGGATGGCTGAGGTTCTTTGGTGGTTTTTAATTGGTCTTAGGAGTGATAGCATCCACTGTAATAATTGGCTAAAGAACGTGTGTGTAGCCACTCTAGGGAAGTTGTGTGACTACCAGCTGCCATTGCATGAATTGTAAAACTGTGGTTTTTATTTTCCAGGTGACTCTGATATTATTAGAAGCATGCCAGAACAGACTGGTGAGAAGTAGTAAACCAGAAAAGCCTGCCTTTAATAAAACCACCCAAGCTCTCTTTTAAAAAAAAAACAAACATTGTGTCCATTTGGGTTTTCTTCCTAGATCTTGGTTCATTTATACTTGAAAGTGAGATTAGAGCCATTGAAACCACAATTTCTGGCGGTCAGATTTAGGTGAAGTTACAGTCACTTGTTTTTTGTGGGGCTTTGCTTTGTTAAAGGTAGTACACCATATCACTGCAAAGTGTATGGGACCAGAGGTGCTTTAGCGTTTGGGATCCCAGTGTTGAAATGCACATTTGTGTTCTTATAATACACACCTATTCAGAAGGCCGTGTTACTTGGTATTTTCTGTGGGTGGGTGTGTTTAGACTAGAGGGTGATGGGTGTTTTCCTTCACAGCTTTACATGCTGAAGCATGGTCTCTCATTTAAGCCTAGAATTTGGCAATTCCAGCTAGTGTAGCCAGCTTCCTCTCCAGATCTCATGGGTGTCTCCTGAGTGATAGAATTGCAGGCTGGCTACCCTGCATATCCATGGTCTCACATGGATGTTGGAGAAAGTGCTATTCCCAGCCCATGTAAGGACAGGCTTGTGATTCCAGACTTGGTATTTGCACTGTGTGTTTGAGTTAAAGCTTGTGTGTGTGTAACCTGCCGAGGACTTATGCTTTTTGAGTAATTTTGAATGATTTTTCCTCTAAACTCATTCCTATTTAATTCCTTAATGTATGGTGAACTGAATTTCAAAACACAAATACTGACGTACTGTCTCTGAGGTCTGTATGCAGTGACTTTGCTACAGGCATTTAGAACTATTTTGTGTGTGGTTTGTAGGGCTTTGTAGGTAGTGAGTGATAGTATGGTACATGATAACTTGGCTTTTAATTTATACATTTCTCTAGTCATCGTGTCTGCAAGAAGGGTTTGAATGAAGACAATTTAAAGCTAGGTGATAGAAAACATACCTTCTAGGGTGTGTTTCTGTGGGGTGGCTATGATGAAGTGCCATTGTTTTGCTATGGGGAGGAAAAGGACCCAAATCAGGGATGGTAAAAGTTGGCATTCTAAGATGTTCTTTTCTAATTATAATGAAAGCAAGGTTTCAGTTGAGTTGCTCTCATGAGGGGTGGCAGGGAATTCTAGCCAAGTAGACTTCTGCTAGGTGTGGAGACCCGTGCCAAAGAAGTGGGGCGTTGAGTGTGTAAAAAATTGCAAGCAACACTCTGTGGCAGGTGAACCAAACTTACCTGACACAATTTGAGCTTGCTATAGCAAGAGAGTCTAACCTATTCCGGTGTTCTCTTCCCATGAGACAAGCCGTTATATAGACTCAAACAATATTTAAGAGATAAAGATTTGCAATTACAGCCGGGCGTAGGTGGTGGCGCACACCTTTATTAACCCCAGCACTCCGGAAGGCAGAAGCAGATGGATCTCTTGAGTTCGAGACCAGCCTGGTCTGCAGAGCTCAGGACAGCCTCTAAAGCCACACAGAAACAGAATTGCAATTACAGAACTAAGAAACAAACTTTAGGCTAGTCGTGAATGGAGTTAGTTGTATAATGTGGCAGATAGTCCTGCTTCATGGAAAGGCGCTCTGGTTCATCGTTGGGACTTGCCTGTGCTTTGGCCCATTGTGGCAGAAGGTTCCTGCCCCCATTCTGGGCTTGCCTGTATTTGATGAGGACAAGGTGGAGCCTTTTTAAAAAATGGCATTAGGCCGGGCGTTGGTGAGGCACGCCTTTAATCCCAGCACTCGGGAGGCAGAGGCAGGCGGATCTCCGTGAGTTCGAGACCAGCCTCGACTACCAAGCGAGGACAGCCTCCAAAGCCACAGAGAAACCCTGTCTCGAAAAACAAAAAAAAAAAAATGGCATTAGTCACATCTGCCTCTCACCATGGTCCTAGAGAACCAAGGACTCAGCATTTTATGCAACATTAAAAATTTTTGAGTATTTCCTGGTGCTAAGACAGTTCCCCATTGTGTTTGTGAATATCTAGGCTAAAACTTTTACATTTTGTCCAAATAGTAACTTCCGTGTTGTACATTTAGCATTTGCTGTCTCCCAGAGTGTGAAGACAGATTTCATTCTTTACTCAGTGTAACCAGTAGAGGGCGTAGCGTTCCCAGCAACCACTTACTAGATAGTCATGAGCTACCATGTGGTTGCTGGATAACTGAACCCAGACCATCTGTAAAACTTTGGTAACCATCGCTAGTCAGACTGGTTGTACCAAGCTGGCAAGTATGTTAACCTGTTTTTTTCCCTTTCTGGTTAATATTAGCTCTTTATCATGTATGCATTTATTTATTGAAGATCTATTATGTATACAATGCTCTGCATGTATGCTTGCACACTGGAAGAGGGCACCAGATCTCATTACAGATGGTTGGGAGCCACCGCGTGGTTGCTGGGAATTGAACTCGGGACCTCTGGAAGAGCAGCCAATGCTCTCAACCACTGAGCCGTCTCCAGCTCCCATGTATACATTTAAACTAGGAGTTTTATTCAATGTTTTCTGGAGAGGTGGATTTTAATGTATAAAAATTGAACAGAGCATAGGTCCCATAATTTACCCATGTCCATATGCATCAAAGTAAATTCCAATACAAAAAAATAGCAATTTGCTGAGTCAGTTTTGTGCAGAATTGAGACTTGTCAAATGAGATTTCACTGCACAGCTCATTCTCGTGGTTGACTAGGATTCAGGAGGATCCCCCACCCCCAATGAGAAATCTAGACACCTTAGCGTCTACTAGTGTCTGCATTTCTTGTACAGCAATCCAGTGTCTTCTGTAGCTGGTTGGGTTTCACTTTACAGATTTACCTCTGGTGTGAGTGTTGCGACTCCACTCTTTAAAATCCTTTTCATAATGGTGTACAAACACAAAAGCATTTCTAGTCTTCATCTGTACCGTAGGCGGTTTTCCAAGGCTTCCATTCTTTGCGTCATTTCTTCTAGTAAATCTCAAATTAAGGAAAAGTAGTCTGGATGTCTGTTTTAGCTTACAACTTGATTACTAAAACTTATTAAAAAGGCTATGGGATTAAAAGCGAATTGTCCCATATTTTGAAAAAGCCTTGTACATTTATAGCAATTTGTTTAACATGCCATTAAGACTATATATAAACCGGGCGGTGGTGGCCACACCTTTAATCCCGGCACTTGGAAGGCAGAGGCAGGTGGATCTCTGTGAGTTTGAGGCCGGGCTGGACCGACAACCTCCAAAACAATACAGAAAACCCTGTCTCGTAAAACCAAAAAAATAAAATAACGACTATATAAATATATACACATGTGTATATTTTTTCATGTGAAACTCATTGCCAAAGCCAGATTATTTCAGTTTGAGTTTGGCTTTTCCAACTACAGCATAGTGCTTCTCTGGGAGGCATAGCTGGTAATCTGGGAGATGTAAAGACAGTGAAAGGATTGTGCCTTACAGAGTGAAGGGAAGTCAGAAGAGGCACGGGAGTGGGGTTCAAAAGCTAAGGAGCGCGTGGCCTTGAATTTTCACTTAATGCTCCTTCACATGCAGTTTCGGGACAGGAAGAAGCTGTAAAGTATCTTCTGTAAGTTCCTTAATTCCTGCTACCTGCCCGCATGGCAGGATGACAACCCGGTCTTCTCAGTTTTGACTCCTGTCAGGAAGAAATAATCCCCTGCCCCTTACAGGGAGAATTGCCATATGCTGCTCTTAGCCTGTGGCACAGGAGTGTCTCGGGACTAGTTGCTCACTGGTCTGTATCAGCCAGCTTTAATAAGCTTGCTGTAGGCTTCAGTTCAGGGCAGCCAGCAGCGTGTAACAGCGCCCGTCACTGTCATCCCATTTAAGTGAGCCACCGGACCCTGTCCCTTTGGTAGATTTTTCATCTCTTAAAGTGCTGATACAAGGGATCTCGGCTGCCAAAAAGGAAAGAGAGACACCCAGTCCTTCAAAGTCTGCGCACATGCAGCTTCTGTGTGGTTAGGGTTGAGGGTTAGAGATCAGGCTAGACCTCTCCATTCTACAAGGCACTTTGCCAAGACGTGCTTCTCTGAGGCACTTCATTCCTGGTGTGTATATACTGCTTGATTGGCCGCAATGCTACTTCCGATGTTAGCCAGCAGATGTCAGCCAAGTGTGAGACCATGGCCGCTAAGCTTGGACTCCCAACTCTCAAACAGCTACCAGGCTGCCTTTAATAAAAAGCCCTTCCCTGGTTCACTGTTGCTGGCTGTGCTGTTGAAACCCACGGTGACCTGTAAGGTTGCCACTGCTTGCATTGCACACAGAGCATCCCACAGAAAAAGGATATGGCGCTGGGTCAGTTTTCTTACTTCCTCGTTTGCAAGGTTCTGGAACATGATTAGGTTTTCACATTTGCATTGGTCCTGGCTTTCTTCCAAAGGGCTTCCTGAGAAAGCAGATGGAGAGAGTTCACCTCTGCCTTCCACACTTCCCAGACACATAGTAACAGGACAGGACTGAGTCAGTGCACAGGAAACCACAATGAAAGAAATGTTGAGCCTTCCCATGCATCCAGATCCAGGGACGTAAATGCTGGGAAAGGGCTGTGTTGGCTGCAAACACTGGAAGGGGCTTTCATTGTGGAAACGGGGTCAGGACTACTACTGCTTCCTTAGTTTTTAGATATTTACACCTCTTTCCTACTGTAAGCCAACTATGTTGGCAACCTGGAGCTTATCCAGTGGTGATACTTCACTTGGAATTACCTGAGGATTTTGTTGAGTGGAAAAGCTTTTGTGTAGATCGTGCAAGTTTGTCTTCTTCAAACAGGTATCTGTGTTGCACTGCAAAATTAGAACAGGAAAGTAGGTCTCGGATATTTATGGTGACTGGCTCAGATTCTGTAAAGAGAGAAAACCCAATTCAAATGTGCCTCACACTACTGCGGTCTAAAGCAGCCGCCAGCTGAGGCAAAGGCATTTGGAATTCCCTTTGTGTGCAGAGTTTTGCTTTGAGACATAAGCCATCAGGAAAAGTGGCAGCTACCATATTGGCAGACAGAATAAATCCTTACTGTCTGTCAGGAAAAGGGCCTTGGCTGACATCTAAATCTATGGCCATTTTACAACTTGCATCCTCAGGGAGGTTGAGGCAGAAGGCTCCAGTGAAGGCTGAGCACGCTGCCTTTGGAAGCTCACCTGTTGGGTGGTGGGTCTGCTTTGACGGTTCCTCTGCAGGGGAATCCTGTCTTCCATCAGAGTCTTCTAGAGCTGAGTGGGAAGAAATGACCAAAAGGAGGTTCCCATGTGCTCCTTAGGACACTGTTGGAACCCAGCATCCTTTGGTAACGACAGTGATTATGTGATGATTTATGACCATGGTAGAGCACTTCTGTCCCTGAAGAGAACTTAAATTACACCTAAGGGGTGCTCCCCAGTGTCATGTCAAGAAGGTAAGGCAGGGAAAAAGTTGTTGAGAGATCCAGTGCAATCCCTGGAGCACTCACTGCCTGTGTCATTTCACTGGGAAAGACAGAGCCAAAAGCAAAGCATGCTCCCCTCTTGGGAATCTGGAAGGGTCCCCCTCCCCCTCTTGAAGGGCATTCTGTGGGTGTCCAGTGAGCGTGCAAGGGTAGATGATACCCTTCCACAAATTTCCTGTACTACTTCTGGTTCCTCTAGTGATGGCTTAAGAGCGATCACATCTCTAGGTTTGGTGAGGATTAAGAATTAGGGACTGGAGAGATGGCTCAGTGGTTAAGAATGTGGGCAGCTCTTCCACAGGTCCTGACTTCAATCCCCAGCAACCACATGGTTACAACTATCCATAATGAGATCTGGTGCTCTCTTCTGGCCTGCAGGTATACATGGAGGCAGAACATGGCATACATGATAAAAAATTTTTTAAAATGGCATATTAAAGCTGGGCGGTGGTGGTGCATGCCTTTAATCCCAGCACTCGGAAGTCAGAGGCAGGTGGATCTCTGAGTTCAAGATCAGCCTGATCTATAAGACCTAGTTCTTGTAGACCAAAAGAAAGAAAGAAGCATATTAAAACACTTGGCATGCTTTTTGGCACAGCGCAAGTGCTCAAGACACAGCACTGATGACATTTGTCTCCACCTCTCCCATTCTGTCTGACGTGTCTCCAGGTGCCGCTTGTCTTGTTGGCTGGGAGACATTTTCTGAGCACCAAAGAAACGGTTTGAGGGTTTCCTGGTTCATGCTGCCCCATGGCTAAGGTCTGCCCCCAGACACATTCTGCAATACCTTCACAGATGCCTTGTTTCAGCTTTCCGCTTATCTTGTCCATCGTGCTGAAGTCTTCTGCATAGAAGAGATGCTTGTCAGCGGGCTCAGACGCGATCTCCTGGAGCTCCTCCTCAATGGCTTTCCCGACACCAACAGCATACATAGTGATACCTAGGCAACAGAGGTTAGGGTGAGATGCAGTTGCATTCCCAGGGTCCGGGCATGGTGCTATGCCCAACCAAAGTCAGATATTAAGTGATGGGATTTGAAGTATCAACATTTATATTTATCAGCATTTCTATTTCAGACCTATGAACAAAAGATCCTAAGACATGTGGCATCTGTAAGAGAGTAAAAGACTATTGATAAGCCCTAGAGAGGTCAGGTAACCGAGCAATGTGCAGCTTTCTCCTGAATTATCTTCTGGATAGTAGGAAAACGTGTCTTCTCACAGCTTACTAAAATGAGAGGTTTTCTGGGAAAATTCTAAGCAGGTCAAATTACGACCTTATAAAAGACAGGATTTTTCCATATAGCCAAGGCTGGGCTGGAACTTGTAAATCCCCTGCCTCAGCCTTCTGAGTGCTTGGATGGTTTCTTCTCAAAAGGAAAGGAGAACTTAAATCAAATTTCCTCATTTGAAAGTTAAACAAGCAATTTAACATTGTTTTTTGTTTTAAGTGTATTCGTGTCAGTAAATCCATTAAAAAAAAATCTTCAGGTGACTCTGGAGGGAAGATGCCATGGCGTTGGGCCAGCTGTATGTTGTAGTTAAACAGCAGGAGCCGAGTTGATTCTCCTGGAGGCCACACACTGAGCAGTAAATCCGATTACTCAGCCTGTGAGGGGCATTTTATTTAGCATCCCCAGGGCTCCGCTATGGCCTCTAGGTGGCAGTGTAGCCAAGGTGAATTTTTAAACGCAGTTGTCAGAACGTCTTTCTGGAACCAAACACCCTGCCGCCTAAGGTCAGCTATGAATTTAAAGACCGGAATTCTGAATAATGTAAACCGCGACCCCTCCCCCTATTACCAGTGGCCTTGGCTTTGCTGGCCCACTCGGAGACATCATCCTGAGCCCGCCCGTCGGTGAACACGATGGCTACTCTGGGCACCCGTGTGGAGAGGGGCCTGGCCCCTTCTACTTGGGTGAAACTTCTCTCAAACATGTGTTTCAGGGCCAGCCCAGTCATAGAGCCTTTGCCCATGTACTTCATGTGGGCCACGGCTTTCTTCATGTCCTTGGCTGAGCTGAAGTCCCTCAGGGAAAACTCGGTGTGGACCTGTGTGGAATACTGCAGCAGCCCCACCCGAGCAGCTTTCGGGGAAACCACCAAGGAATCGATGATCCCAGCGACGAAATGCTTCACGATCTCGAAATTGTCTTCCCCGAGGCTCTTGGATCCGTCAATCACAAAGACTAGGTCGATTGGGCCTTCAGTGCACCCTACGGGAGACACGGTTAAAAAGTTAGCGATCGCCAGGCGTTGGTGGCGCACGCCTTTAATCCCAGCACTTGGGAGGCAGAGGCAGGCGGATCTCTGTGAGTTCGAGGCCAGCCTGGTCTACAGAGCGAGTTCAAGGACAGCCTCCAAAGCCACAGAGAAACCCTGTCTCGAAAAACCAAAAAAAAAAAAAAAAAAAAAGTTAGTGATCACGTACATACAAGAGTACATAAAAAAAAAAGCTTCAGCTAGCACACAGGACAGACAAGTGTGGAATACCACACGTAACGATTATTTCCAGGTAACAAGTTTATGTCTGAGCCGTCTGTTAACAACACTGGTAATTTCCCTACTATGTAAGCTACACAGTGTCCACACATTGTAAAGGCAACCACATGCCAATTGCTGGAGGCCAGGCCTTGGGGGAACTGTGCAGACAGTATGGCAAAGGATTAGTTAGAGCAGTGGTTCCCCATCCTTCCTAACGATGCGGCCCTTTAATACAGTTCCTCCCGCTGTGGTGACCCCCAACCGTAAAACTGTTTTTGTTGCTATTTCATAACTTAGGAATTGTAAATGAATGCCTGTGTTTTCCGATGGTCTTAGGCAAACCATGTGAAAAGATGGGTTGACCCCCTAAAGGGCTCCCTACCCGCAGGTTGAGAACCACTGGGTTAGACTATCTACCAAGGCAGTTAGTTCTTTTTGCTTTGTTGTGGGAGGCAGGTAGATGATATGCAGTATCTCGACGGGCAGTAGAGGAGATGCTTAATTTCTCCTCAGCCATTTCTTCTCCCAAGAAACTTCCAGGGTAGCCCAGCTTGCGCCAGCTACTCTCTGAATAAATGCCCCCAACACGTTGACTTATTCAATCAAAATCCGTTCACTGCATATCTGCCTTGTGCAAGGCAGTGGACACGGCAGGACTGTGGTAATAACTGGCATAAAATGTCTGACACCAAGTTGCTAAGTTCCATGCTCTCTATGCTGTATCCATGGGGGGACAATTATTTAACACTGAGTCTTTCTCCCCTAGTCTGGATTGTCCTTCAGTAGATACTGTGTGTCATTTATGTTTGTGCCCATAATGTTTGGCACACAAAAGGTATTCAATACATTGTTACTGACAGAATTAAAGCACTGTGGTATCCATTAGACAGCACACTGATAAGTACCCTCCTGACCTATTAAGACTTAAAAAAAAAGTATGATCACTGAATTCTTTACCCATACCAAAGCTTTTTGGGCAACTTAGACGGTTGACAGTATAAAGAGAACAAAATTACGCAAATCCACAGGCAATTTGAATGCCAAGAGACATTGTTATGTACGGCTGCATAAGGGAACTGTAACAATCCCAAATGAATGATCTCATTTCAAACAGTCTACAGTATGTTATTATAATATTCTCTTTTATACATCAAGCAGCTGTCTAATCTTTTAAAGTGAAGTACAACAATAAGGCAAGTAAAGACATACATATGCAAAAATACTCCTGTGCCTGGCTAGTAGAAAACGCTAATGTGAGTGTGCACACGTGTGTGGTCATTGGGAGCCGGCTTCTTGTCTTTTCATTAAGCGCTTGTCCTCATTATTCAATCTATTGATTCGTGGAAAGGAATTAAGAAGGCCCAGGTGTCATGCATGTGACTCTCCAGCAGATGTCAGGGCTGCCGGAGTAATGTACCAGCCGCTCCCCCTTCTGTATCCCCCTTTGCTTACAGAACAGAGCCAGCCATTGTCATTTGCTGTCCACGAAAGCAAAGTTGTTCTGCTGGCTGCTGTTGCTGAGCTTAGCCCTGTTTTCTGTCGGTCTACACATCTGTGTTTATGGGAGAAGCAGGGCTGAGGGGGCCTCCTGCCTGAAAAACGGTCCCAAAGGAATCGCTCCTAAGGCAAGCGAGCGGAAGCAGAGAGCCGGTTCAGTCACTCACTCTTGCAACGCCTCCCATCCTCAGCCAGGACAAACCCCTCTGAGCACCGGCACGTATAAAAATCGCCGTTGTTCACGCATATGTGTTCACAGCCGTGGTGGGTGGACTTGCAGGCATCCTTCCCTGGGGGAAAATGCGGGGAGGTGAACAACCCATCGTCGTGGAAATAAGCCAGTGTGAACAGTCGTGCCAGGGGAGGCTGAGGGAGTGATCCACGTTAAAGAACCCAGCTTTGCTAAAATGACCATCTTTGCAGTCCCTGCCAGGACAGGCCAGGATCAAGGAGCAACTCCTCTCAGAACTCTTGCTCTTACTGGCTCCGGTGGATCATCATTCAGATTTTGAATGACTAGATAGTCTTTAGCTTCCGATTTTTCAGTAGAGGTCCCAAATACCCCACGTTGGTTGTCTAAAGAGCATTTCTCACAGGTGACGTAATTTGAACTCCTTGAAGTGGTTATGACCCTTTAGTCCTCACAACACCCTGGGGGCACGGGGTGGGTATACACAGGTAGTATACAAAGTGGTGGATGCCGTGAGTCTGACTGAATTGTACAAGGCTGGCCAGCCAGAGGATAGCCCAGTTGAGGCATACTTCCCCCCCAGTCTTCCCTTTAAAAGGAGAAACCTTACAGAGATTGGAATCTGTAACTATGGATCTCTCAGGAAGTGGGAAATTGTGAGGTTTAATTTGGGAATCAAATTGCAAAGCTAGAAGTATGCCTTTTACACAACCATTCAATGTATCGACCAAAACACATGCTGGCTGAATAGAAAATTATGGCCCAGGCAGACACGTGGTCTCCGTGAAAGATGCATAGATAGCAGTGTGCAGCTAGAAGTCCAGACAGCCCAGTGAGGCTGGGAGTCAGGCCCCGCCTACAACATATGCTCATGTCACAGAGCCTCTCACGAGGTACAAGCTGTGCCCCCTGGAGAAGAATGCCTGATGAGTTACTCCTACTCAACTTGGTCTACATGTGGGATGCCCCCGATCTCAAGGGAGTCTGTGACAAGACTGCCCACAAAGGAAACCTCAAAAGCAAATTAATCTACTTTGCTTAACCAAGAAAGCACACTACAGCAGTGTCAAAACCAAGTAGATATTAGCAACCCCCAAGCCCTAAAGAGGACTACCATCTAGAATGGGGAGAAAGTCTATGCCTGTATTCTGATCCCACCTCACTGACTTGCTCTTGGGTGGTGTGATGGCTACTTTTATGTAAACATTTAAATCAGTAGAATCTGGGTAAAGCAGACTACCCTCTGTAGTGTGTGTGGGCCTTGTCCAGTCATTTGAAGACTTTAAGAGTAAAAGGCGAAGATTCCCAGAGGAAGGGAAGATGCTCTTCACTTACAACACCAGTTCTACTGGGTTGCTGGTCTTCCTAACAGACATCCTCCTCACCAGCCCCCACAACCCCTTAAAGTCAATTTCTCTTTCTTTCTCTCTCTCTTTCTTCCTTTAACCCTAACATGTATCTCCAGCACATAGACGCTATTATCTATTTTTCTGGAGAATCCTAACATGCATCTGTGTGTGTGTGTGTGTATGCATCCATGCATGTGTGTGTGCACATGCTTTCTTGCTTGTAGAGGCCAAAGGTCAATGTTGAGTGTCTTCCTCAGTCACTATCCACTTTATTTTTTGAGACAAGGTCTCTTACTGAACCTGAAGCTGACCAATCCAACAAGTCTCTGGGACCCTCCTGTGTCTCCCTCCCGGCGCTAAGATTACAGGTGTGCTCCACCATGCTTGCTTTTACACTGGGGATCGAACTCAAGCCCTCAAGCTTACACAGCAAGCACTTGACCAACCATGCCATCTCTGAGGTCCCCCCTAACACTGAGAACCCCACAGAGCCGCCCTCCAGCCCCTCTCCTACCCTTCACCTTACACATATGCTCCACCAAGAAGCAAAAGCACGGAAATTATCTTTTTGGTTCTGGTAGTCCATTGCTACCAACTATTCTAGTTCTGCGCACCAACTTGCCGGGTACCCAACCACCATACAGAAGGTCGAGGGCTGAGAGACAACAGAAGTGAAGAGCTTGACGACCTAGGACCGCCACTGAGACAGTCCTGAAGAACCCACGGTCAACTGACTGGACCCCTTTGGAGACACTGTCTGTTGGGAAAGTCCTGTGTATATGTCAATAAAGCACTGTTGGCCAATAGGGAAGCAAGAAAGGTGGGACTAGGAATCCAGGAGGACTCTGGGTAGGAGAAACACAGAGAGTCACGATGTAACCGCCATAAGGGTAAGAAGTCTGGATCCGTTCTCCGGTAAGAGCAATACTTAGATTAACAATTATGGAGTAAATACTTAAGTCAGAGATAGCCAGTAAGAAACAAGCAAGGCCAACAGCTTCATAATTAATACAGCGTCTTGTGTGTTATTTGGGGACTACAACGTGGCAGAGCCCAGGCGACTGGTGGGGGGGTGGGGAGAACCAAGCTGCTGGCAAAGAAAAGGCTTCTCTCAGAGCACTGAAAGTTGGAATCTGAGTTTGCAACCCGGTTAGGAAACCCTACAAAGGGAGACTGTGGGCTAACTTACTTCTACAGCGCTTCCCATCCTCAGCCAGCCTGAATCCCTCCGGACACTTGCAGATGTACGACTCGCCACTGTTGATGCAAAGGTGCTCACAGCCGTGGTCTACAGCCTGGCAGACGTCTTTCCCTGAGGAGAGAGTACAGAGGTTAAAACGGCCGCGTCGACGGGAAATCAACATGGATTCCCCCCTGGAAGATCCATCCATCTTGGCTTTCGGGACTCGAGTGGTACCAGAGTAGGGAGATGAAACCGGGGTGGGGGAGGGGAGAGTGATGTTGTGACGTTCGGTGGCTCTAGGGTTGGGCTAGACCCTCAGACTTTCTCACCGACACTGCCACCACCCCTCGCCAGCATGACTTCACTGTCAGGGATGCAGTCCAGCCTCAGCCGTCCGCAGACGTGGCCTCTGCTGACAAGTGGAGATGCTACTGGTGTGGTTATAGAGTAGAAGGCTGCGGTTTAGACCAGCAGCAGCATGAGCAGCGCTGGCGTCTAATCTTTTTAGACCAGCAGCAATGCTGGAATCTAATCTTGCCTTTGTCCCTGGCATCATCTATGATTCAGGAAAACTGGGTAAGCCTCTTGGAATCTTTCCTATCTGAAAACAAGAGTAATGATTTCAGACCCTCATCTTTTATTCATAGCTTTTTTGGGAAAGGCTTTGAGAAGTCTGAGAAAAAGAGGACTGACTGATAGTTGAGGGCCATTCACCCAGACTTGCCCAGTCCTCTCTGACTGCTGCTATTGTTATTATTGGGGTGCTGGGAACTGAACCCAGAACCTTGCACGTGCTTGGCAGGTGCTCGACCACTAAGCTACGTCCCCAGCTCATTTATTTATTTATTTTTAATTTTTATTTATGCGCCCATGTATGTATGGGTGTATGCACATGAGTATAGTTGCCAGCAGAGGCCAGGAGAGGGTGTCAGATCCCCTGGAGCTGGAGTTACAGGAGCCTGTGAGCCGCTCGACATGGGTGCTGGGAACTGAACTCCTGTCTTCTGGAAGAGCAGTATGTGTTGTTAATCACTGAGCCATCTCTCTAGCCCTCCATTCTATTTCTTCATTTTACCGTGAGGCAGTGTCAGTATGGCCTACAGCCAAGGAAATCTGTGAATTTGCCATGCTCCTGCCTCAGCCTTCTAAGTAGCCAGGATTGTAGGGGTATACCAGTAGGCCAAGTGTAGTGTATTTTTGTCATGGTTAGAAGGTCTCACTATGTAGGGCTGGCCTAGAACTTGCTATACCGACCAGACTGGGTTTAAATCCACAGAGATCATCTACCTCTCTCTGCCTTCCAAGTAATGGAAACCACAACATGGAACACCACACCTGGCCTGACAGGATATTATTTACTGAAGTGTATTGTTGTATATAGTGACTTCATTTTCACACAGCATCCCCTTTTCTGTCCCAGGATCCCACCCGGACACCACATGACATATGATTGTGTGCTGTTGACTGTTGAGAATAATTGTCTCACACCAAAATTGACAAGGCAGCTCTCAGGCATGGCCTTATGAGCTAGCTCTGTAGCAAACTCACTTCTGCAAGTCTTCCCATCGTCACGGAGGATGTATCCCTCAAAACACTGACACACGAATGAGTCTTCACTGCTTACACATGAGTGTTCGCAACCGTGGTCCCCCAAAGCACAAGAGTCCAGTTCTGATGAAAATTACAGAAACAGAAGAAAAATGATTAACGGATTAGTGACTTGTTCATTCATGGGAGACATTGCAGACATCCTAAGTTGAAATTGTGTCTTTCCCCACACAGTTCATTTCGGGATGATGGAAAGTTTTCTACGAGCAAAAATTCTTTATGCAAAGCACATACATCAAACAGGCAGCTCCACAGGAAAAAAGGGAAAAGGAGATATAAATATCTATGACTATGGGAAAATAAGTCTAATACCAACTTTTCTATGGCTCTGCATATGCATATAGGACACTTAACTGATTCCTCCATTTACTCAAAGGCAGCAAAACTTTGTTGTTTTGAGGCAGGATATCTCTATGTAGCCCAAGCTGCTTTAGCTTTCTGGGGGCTAAGGTAAATGTGAACACACCTAGCTGGTCAGCAAATTTGCTTTGAGTTCTTGCTGTAGGCGAGGCATTGTTTTAGCCACGAAGGACAGAACAATCAGGAAAAAAAAAGTTTTTGTTTCCTTCCATGGAACTTTGCATTCAGCAACGGGTGTCAGGAGCACATGAGGGTACGGAAGACAAGCAATAGGCAAGCATGCCTTCTCAGTGGGGAAGGAAGTGCCTTGGAGAAATAGAGGACAAGAGATGACAGAGAGTGGCTGCTGGGTTGGTGTCTGATAAGGAGGAGCAGGACCCTGGAGATGGAGAGGAAGCTTGTGCTGGTGTCTGGGCAAGAAAGACTGGAGAACATGTTCATCACGTTGCAGGAAAGGCACATGGAGCCCATCGTGGTAGGAGGAGGCAGGGCACGGTAGGCATAGGAGCACACGGGCAGGGGCATGTCTGAGGGAGAAGGTCAGTCACAGGATGCTTTGACCGGAAGAATCCCCCAGTCTAGCTGCAGTTTGAAAGTACAGAACGGAGTGAGCGTAGAGAAGAGATACGGGGGATGGATACAGCCTACTGCCACCATCCTGCCGGCCCAGAACACTGCTGACAATGTGGTTGGATTGGCTATGTTTTGAAGGTAGAGCCTGTACGATTTGCTGGTGGACCGATGTTAGGTCACAGACCTTCTAGCTGCCTTTTTCCCCCATTCCAGAAACAGGCCACCCCTCCCCGAAGCCTGCCTCCCCAGTGCTTCTCCCCTTTTCTCACAGCTATGAGCAAGCCCAGCCACCCTGGTTCCTAGACCACAGACAATCCTTGAACAGTAACTTCTTTTGTCAGAGCCACACCCAGTCGCTTGGCAGGGAGGTACGCCATGGCCACCTCTAAGAATCAGAGTGCCCTTGTTTCTTTCTTTCTTTTTTTTTTTTTTTTTTTTTTTTTTTTTGGTTTTTCGAGACAGGGTTTCTCTGTGGCTTTGGAGGCTGTCCTGGAATTCTCTTGGTAGTCCAGGCTGGTCTCGAACTCACAGAGATCCGCCTGCCTCTACCTCCCGAGTGCTGGGATTAAAGGCGTGCGCCACCAACGCCCGGCCGCCCTTGGTTCTCATTGGCTTCCCCACCCACTAAGGCTCTCCTCCTACAGCTGCAGTGGCCATGAGGTTCTCTCTCCTGATAAAGCTCATCTAATGGGTAACTTTGTGTCAACTCCGGTTCTTTCCAACAATGAAGCAAAGAGTCCACCTTCACGTGACTAGGGCGGAAGAGTCAAGCATGACTGGAAAGTCACTGGACTGAGCTACCGAAGGAAGGCATTGTTAGGGCTGGGTGGCTTTCTGGGGACTAGAAGGTTTGTGTGCTTGTGAAAACCAGGCTGATGATTCAAAGCTTGAAATCGAGGACCGTGGGGGGGGGGTGTGGAGGGGGCAGGCAGTGAGTGACATTTTATGACAACCATACAGTTAACTGAAGGCTAGTCCAGCCCTTTAGAAAATGAACAGGATTTCAGCAAAGGCTGTATATGGAAGTGGTTAAAGGCACATGGCAGAGATTATACTCAGGAAGAAACATCTACCTTTATTTTGTTTTTGTTAAGTATTATTGCAGCATTTCTCAATGAAGTGGGGGGATCCTAAGAACTACCCTGTAGGCTACTTAAGGGAGCCAGTTGTAAGGATTCAGGTGTTATGCTGTCACCTGGCAGAATGGCACTCAGGCAGTAGCCTGGTCAGCCCAGGGTTCCATGGAGTCTGCACTCAGGTGCAAAGGACCTCTTTAAAAGACAGAACTCCGCCCGCTTAACGGTCTTTTTGCCTGCTCATCTCTTCCTGCTCTCTTCTCTTTCCTGCTCTTCCCCTGGAGCAGACAGGGCTTTTCCTGTCTCCCTCGTCTCTCCTGTCCTCTCTCTCTCTCTGTGTGTGTCTCTTTACCTCTTTTCTCTTTCCTTCCCCCTTCCATCTCTGTTCCCAGTTGGCCAACACCTACCCGTCCCTTCTCTCCCTTTCCTAATAAACTCCACATGGGTTTGCTGAGTTTGGCAGATCAAGTTTCATCACCCCGCAGCTGCATCGAGCAACGACACCAGTGAAACTCTCATTTACCACCAGGAGAAATTAAGGCTGAGGAAGACCAATTAATTACAGCTTACCAAGGCCACTTGCCAATAAGTGGTGGAAGAACCGGATGAAAAAAGTTTTATCTTTTTTATAATGAAGCTCGTGACTCCCCCCCCCCCAACTACACACGGCATCACCATCTGCTAAGCTTTCAGACAAGAGGGGGGAGTTTTGCATTTCTTTGGGCAGGAACACTGCCAGAAGCTTCGAAGGATGGGAAAATGATGTTAACTGGAATTTTAACTGTAACGGAGACCCTAAGTAGGGTTGGGTACTCCGGTTTTCTCTTAAGTGTGACTTACTTCTCTGGGCACATTCTGGGCTCATTACGAATGCAGAGCATTTCCCTGTGGCTGGAGTTGCTCCTCTGACAGTGAAAGGTACCACGAAGTGATGCATAGTGCCGACAGCTGGCTGGCACGGAGGGCAACTTCTGTCCCCCTCCATCACGCATTTAGAAGAGCACCCCACCCCATTTTCCAAGGTAGTAAAACAGCAAAAGCTCTCTCACTCCAAGCCCTGATCCAGAGCGAACTGTCCAAGCACACTCTTTTAGACGGTGACTCCCCACCCAGCCCTGATTCACTAGCCACAGCTCAGGCTGGTCCTCTTGAAGGCCACAGGGGCGTCCTCAATGGAGACACAGACTACTGAGCCCCAGCTTCCCAAGCCCCAGTGGCCCAAGCTTGCATCTGTCAGGTGCTTTTTTTTTTTTTTTTTTTTTGAGACAGATTTTCTCTGTATTGTTTTGGAGGCTGTCCTGGAACTCGCTCTGTAGACCAGGCTGGCCTCGAACTCACAGAGATCCGCCTGCCTCTGCCTCCCGAGTGCTGGGATTAAAGCCGTGTGTCACCCACGTCCGGCATTGCCAGGTGCTCTTTATCAGAGCGCAGTCATGGAGAAGCCCATGCCCACAGGGTTATGTGCTCAGCCTTGGCTTTGTGCCGCGCCAGCGCCTCCAGGCCAGCTCCTCAGTTCTCCTGGAACTGCGGATGCTTTAAAGTAAGGGAAGAGTTTTCAGGCTCATCTTTCCCTCCGCTCATGCCTTCGGGGCATCTGATCCACAGAAGAGTGGGTGACTTCTCATAGGACTGCTCAAGGCATTTCAGACAGGCCTCCAAAGCCAATGGTACTAAAGGGCATGCTTGCCTACGGAAGAGTGTCTGGCAGTGTCTACAACGCTACAGAACACAACACCTTTCACCCAGTGGCTTCACTTTGGGACTCCCTTCCGCGGGTGCCCTCAAGCGGTGTAAAGGAATGTACTTCCAAGTTATTGACTGTCACTGCTTGTAAGGGTGAAAAGCAGGAGTCAATCGAAGTATTTTGAAACAGAGGACAGGCAAAATGCAATGGAACGTTACACAGCTGTAAAAAGAACAAAGAACTTCCCTATGTAAATGTGGAGGTTTGAGTAAGAACGGCCCTCATAGGCTCACACGTTTGAATGCCTAGTCACCACGGGGTGGCGCTATTTGAAAGGATTAGGAAGTGTGGCCTTGTTGGAGGATGTGTGTTATTGGTGGCGGGCTCTGAGGCTTCCAAAGCCACTGGCAGGCCCAGAGTTGGCATGTAGCTCTGGGTTGCTATGTAGCTCTCATGCTGCCGTGCTCTCTGCCGTGATGACAACAATGGACTAAATCTCAGACACTGTAAGCAAGCCCCTGGTTAAATGCTTTCTTTTATAAGAGCTGCCTTAGTCATGGTGTCTCTTCACAGCAATAGGACAGTGACTTAGACAGTAACCAGGAGCGGGGTATTGCTGTGACAGGCTTGTCCATGCTGCTTGGTGACAGAATGTGAACTTTGGGACTCTGGATCAGGAAAGCAGTCGAATGCTTTAAGCAGGGCTAGTGGGGCATATTAGTGGGAGCCTAGAAGACAGTGGTGCTGACAGCAATGTAAATTATGACGGCCTGGTTCATGAGGATTCACAGGGAAGAATTTTAGTAAGTGGCCTAGAAACTATTCTTGTGATATTGTGGCTGCTTTTAGTGTTTGTCTTAAAAAAATCTGCCTGGGGCTAAATTGAAGAGTTTTGTTAATGGTGTTGGCAGAGGAGATTTCAAGAGAGCCTAATATTAACTGTGCCGTGTGGTTATTAATAATCACTCTTCGTTTTTTTGTTTTTTGTTTTTCAAGGCAGGGTTTCTCTGTATCTCCAGCTGTCCTGGAACTCACTCTGTAGACTAGGCTGGCCTTGAACTCACAGAGATCCTCCTGCCTCTGCCTCCCAAGGGCTGGGATTAAAGGCATGTACCACCAACGATGTTTAGTTATGGGTTAGTAATTAAGACAGAGCTAGCCAATAAGAAGCCATAGCCATGGACCAATAATTTTATAATTAATAAGTCTCTGTGTGCTTATTTGGGGCTGAAGGTGGTGGGACCCAGCAGAACAGAAGCCTCCATTTTCAGAGTAGCATTTGCTCAGGGACTACTTTAGCTGAAGCACAGGAGGCTGTGAGGAAGACACGGGGAAGGCTCTCCCACACTGCCACACCAAGGATTGTCATTGGAAAATTCTTTTCTGGGAGTGGGGTGGGGCCTGCACTAGGGGTCATGGAGCCAAAGGATAGCTAGCTGGCCTCAGTTCATTCGCTAACCCATCCATTTTACTTCACCAGGCTGGGCCCTTCGAGTTCTGACTCCAGGTAAGATCTGGCCTCCTCTGACCTTTGACTCCCAAGGACTTGCAGGCAGTGGGCCGTGTACTCCATGTATAGTGGGAGTCTTGTCTGGTCCTGTGTTGATCTTGCATTGCACAAGCCAAGGAAGCCCTCATCTTTTGATGAAGGTCTGGCAGACCCCAGCTTAACCCCATCCCTGTCACCAGGCTTTACTGAAAAGGTACAGTCATTTTATCTGGCGGTGCGTCATCTGGCACGAGGCAGGGGAACACACTCATCCCAACTGCTGTTAGTTGTGACCACAGAGAAAACCCAGGCTGCGATTACAGGATGCAGCAGCTGGACTGAATCACTGGAGAGCAGACAGAAAGTCTTCAGTTAGGGGAACGGCTCTGGCGGGTACCCTGTGTCTGTCCTGTATTGTTCAGTGCTAACCCATGTGATTACCTCACGCGTCCTCATAACCACCCAACCAGACATAAAGCTCACTTGCGGTTGCTGGACTTTCACTCATGTATAGATGACGCCATGCCTTTAGTTACAAAGACACTTTCAATGAGAAAACAGGCGACGTTTAACGTCGATGGAGGCAAAGAGGGTGGGGCAGGAGAATGAGAGAAGGGTCTGCAAGCAGTTCGGAGTCTGTGAGAAGGTTTTTAGAGGTCCCACAGTCATCTCCCACTCAGCTTTTGATTACCGGAGTGAAGAGAACAAAGAGGGGGCGTTGTGAGTAATCTAAGGCGACGGAGAATTACACCCATAATCCCCTCGAATCTGGCTTTGGCAGGCAGGCAGGCAACTATAAGATGGTATTTAATTTACCCACCCTTTTCCACACCCTCCCACCCCGCTCCCCCTCCCCATGCCCAGGCCCTACTAGAGCTGGCTGCATGCAGTGTCGCTCTGCGAGCAGCTGGGCAGGGATCCACGAGCAAGCTGCAGCATGGACAGCCTACTTGCCAAGATCCAAGAATCCATCCCAAACTGGGGAAATATTTTCTCACAAGAAGCACGGCTAAATTGCTGCACAGCTGGGCGGGCAGCTCATCTGCCCGTGAGAACTGACGAAACAGAAAAGGACGGATTCGTCAGGGCTGTGTACCTAGGGTTGGTTGTATCGGCGGCCGAGGAACTTGGTCCTATAACCAGAAAGACAGCAGTGCCATTTTGACACTTTGTCTCAAACTGTGTTCTTGGTCCACTTGGAAACGGGAACCCAGGGCAGAAAGCACCATGGCTTTCTTGAATGGGAGAGACAAGGGAGCCTGGAATCTTTTCTTTTGGTTATTGTTGTTGTTTTTGAATAGCTACAAGGAAACAGATGCCTAGACAATATCACTGCTGACCTGGCCTTGTGCTGAGAGGTGACAGGAAAGACAAAGAAACTAAGGATTTCTCAGATGTCTCCCTTTCAGAACTAACTGGAGACTCACAGAGAGCCAGTCCCTACTCAGTAGAGGGCCCCCTCGTACTCTTTTGTGTGAGTCTGAGCTGCAGTTATCCCAACTGTCCCTGGGGTGTGACAGCATGTGTTTAGCACAGTGTTCGGCGCCTGGCACGCAACCACAGGGCTGGTCATAGGCCTGACTGGCCAGTGGGTAGAGCTGAGATCGTGTCTCAGTCTGTATAGATATATATTCGCCTTTGTACCTGTAGCAGTGACCACGCCTTTTGGGTGTGGTTACAGGTGTGGATGTGACCAGTTAAAGGGAAAGGCTCAGAAGGCCCCTTTGAGGCTCAGAGAACATCTGGGAGGAAGGGTCCTGCATCCTTGGAGCAGGAACGCCGCGACAGTCAGTCATTTGTTTTTTGTGTAAGTTCTTTCCCCAAATAAACACCATCTACTATTCCACCGGGTCTAGCTAATTTATTACTACCTGCTTATATTAGTCTGCACTCTGTCGTCACGTCACAATACCTGGATAGAAAGATCAGCAGGAATAGAAACTTAAGCAGTTGGGCCTTCATTTTGCTTATGGTGGGGAAGCCCAAAGGTGAGGAATTATATACAAAAGAGTTGGAGATGCAGGGACGTACCCACAACCCATTCTCTACAGTCCACCTCTCCAAGAAGGGCATTGACCCTCCCCACCAACATACTTGCCTTGGAAAAGTTTCATGTCTCACAGGTTTCACAGTGGCAACCGATTTTGAACATAAATTTCAGTACGGACAGACCACAACCCAGCACGCCAAGAACAAGGGCCTCTGTATCATTATGGTGGCGAGGCAGGGTGTGCAGACAGCAAAGCCATTTGCAGGAGCACAGGATCGAAGTTTGGGGCAGAGGCTCCAATGGCTTTGAGATGTGGGCACACGTATCACCAGGGGACCCAATCAAGGCCCAGAGAGGACACTCAGGATGCACACTAGCACCTACAAGGGCCGGTGCTGAGTCCCGTCAGTCCCAGGATCTCAAATGTGACGAGACTCACTTGCACAGGTCTTCCCGTCGCCGCGGAGCACGTGACCCTCAGGACACCGACAGGCAAAGGATCTGTCTGTGTTGACACAGGAGTATTCACAACCGTGGTCGCTCAGCAAGCAGTAATCCACCCCTGTAAAACCAAAGCCAAGTGAGATTCCCCCCAGGGAAGGGGGAGGCGGACTCTGTCCACAAGGCTTCTGGGCTTCAATGGAAATTAAGTAATGGTTCATGCTTATTGCCATTGAAAGCCTGGGTCCCAGGCAGGCTTCCCCAAAATCTCCCAGGAGGGCAGAGGGGGATATGCTGATCTCTGCATTGTCTGTACACTTACTTCACTCCTGTTGCAAACCCTTCCCCAGTAGAGAGATGGGAGGGAGACTCACTAGAACAGGTCTTGAGGTCATCGTTGATGAGGAAGCCCTCCGAGCACTGGCAGACGAAGGATTCGTCCGTGTTCAGGCACAGCTGCTCGCAGCCATGGTCCTGCTGGGCACAGTGGTCCACCCCTGCATCGGTCACAAACGCAGGAAAACATAAAGGGACTGACCACCAGACAGACTGCTCACAAAAGCCTTCCCTGCGGCAGCAACAGCAACAGCAGCCACAGGGTAGGTTCCACTCTGCCTTGAGCTACGGGGCTTGCTCCTTGTCATAGCCAGCTTCAGGGGACTTGATACAAAACTTAGAGGAGGAGGAGACCTCAGGGGAGGAACCGCCCCCATCAAACTGGCCCTTGGTTGTTGACTGGTAACAGCCCATGGTGAATAGCGTTCATCCAGGGAAGGTGGAATCCGATTGGGATAAGAAAACAAGCATGAGCCTGGAATTGGTGGCACACGCCTTTAATCCCAGCACTTGGGAGGCAGAGGCAGGCAGATCTCTGTGAGTTCGAGGCCAGCCTGGTCTACAGAGCGAGTTCCAGGACAGCCTCCAAAACAATACAGAGAAACCGTGTCTCGAAAAACCAAAAAAAAAAAAAAAAAAAAAAAAAAAGGAAACAAGCATGAAACAAGAAACCTGGATGCAAGCCAGTAAACACCGTTCCTCCGTGGTCTCTGCCACAGTCCCCGCCCTGACTTCCCTCAGTCATAAACGGTGACACGGAAGCATAGGCTGAAATAACCCTTTTCTCCCCAGGTTGCTTTTGGTTGTGGCGTTGATCAGAGCAACAGGAAGCAAACTCGGACAGCAGCGATTCCCACGTCCTTGCTGTGGGCGCTGGAGGGACTTGAACTCTCTGTGCTGTCACCTCCCGATCTGGGGACGATGGCGGTCCCCTTTCTTCTTCCTGTTTATGCTCCCCTCTTCCATGCACTCATGGGATACACGTGCATGTTTGTGAGCGCGTTTGTGGAGGCCAGAGGACCACTTGGTCATTCTCAGGAGGCGTAGTCCACCTCCTTCAGACAGGATCTCTCTCACTGGCTTGGAGCACAGCAGTTAGGCTTGGCTGGCTAACAGGGGCCATTCTATGTCCCCCTGCGGGATGCTGAGATTACATACCAGCGCACACTGCCATGCCTGGTGTTCTACCTGGGTTCTGGATGTAGAACTGAAGACTCAGGGCTTGCAAAGCAAACACTTAACCAATGGGGTTTCTCTCCCCAAGACACCTGGTGGTCCCTTCCTGGTGGTAATGTAGCGAAAGTTAGAGGAAACAGATCTAAAGCTCTCCAAACAGTGGCTGGCACACAGTGACTGCTTAAGGAATGGTTCTTCCTATTACTGAGCAGTGCTCAGAATTATTGCGTAATTTGTTTTTATTTGAAAAATTTTAAAAAGTTACTTTTTAAAAACTATTCTCTTAATCAGGATGTCCAGACTCAGGAAACAAAACAAAACACAAGAAACAAAAGCCTGGCTGCCTGTGTGGTCCCTTCTGGCACCCAAACACCACACACAGCTGGTCCTTGGGCAGGGAATGCTGAGGGCTAGGAAACGCACAGCTGTGGTGGACAGCTCCCACAGAGAGCCCCCTGGGCTGCCGCCCAGATTCACTGAATGGAGAAAGTGCACCCTCCGTCAGACACGGAAGGCTTCAATGATGGCCCTCTGAAGTAAGCCCCTTTTGCTCCTGCGTGTCTGAAGACCAGCAGCTTCTGGAACAATCCACTGGCAGGCAGACACACCTACAGAAACAGCTGCAGCATCTCAGGGGGCACAAGGCCCACGTTCGCATCCCGATTCTGCCACTTACCAGGCAGAACTGTCGGGAGGCGCGTGAGAGCTAGGGTGTTAGGATGTTGAAGGTGCTCACAACTGTGCCCACACAGAGTCAGCACCTCAGGAGGGCTGGCTGTCATAGCGCCTGTGGCTAAGAACCCCACAGATTTCCCTGGGGACTTCTGGACAGAAAAAGATTGGTTTAGACTTTCTAAAAGTTGGCAAATCTTCCAGAGGAAGTACCCCGCCTGCCCCCATCTCTTCCAGACTCATGTCTGAGCTCTTCTAGACAGCCCGAGGTGTTGCGAGATATTTGATTGCACTGTGAAACTCCAAGACTGTGTGAGTAAAATTAACTTTGGGTGGGGAGGGCAGAGCCAGTGGCTAGTTGACAAGAATTAGCCATAGAGAGTATGGAGAACCCAGAAATTTAGATAGAGAGATGCACAGGGAGGAGTAGGGAGGGACTTAGAGATTCGTGGTCTCTCTCTTCTCTCTCTCTCTCTCTCTCTCTCTCTCTCTCTCTCTCTCTCTCTCTCTCTCTCTCTCGGTTTGGGACAAGTGAAGAGAAGCTTCTCTTGGCTTCTCTGATCTAGCAGGCTTTCACCCCAACATCTGACTCCCGAGTCTTTATTGGTAAATAGAACGATAGAGACTTAGTTAAAAAAAAAAACCTACATATGGTGGCCACCACCACAGCCCACCAGTGCCAGCGGGACTGGAAATCCCACCAAGACACGGTCTGAGTGGTGGGACGCTGACTTCGGGCTGCAGCGTGCAAAGATATCAGTAGATTCTGGTGCAGCTCCTAAGCCGACAGAAAACCACCACCAGGGAGAGTCAGGGTCACGCGTAGAAAGACAAATCAAGGCATTTCGTTTCCCCCGGAAGACGGAGGGGGATGAGGGTCCCCAAGTGGGCTCTGTATCTCATATTTACGCTGTGAAGCTTGCCCTTCTGGCAGTCAAGGGCCCAGGTGTTGTCCAACAGCCACACTGTTCCCACCCCACAAGCTACTTCTGTCTGCAGAGCCAAAGCAGATGCAGCAGCCTACTAGGTACAAGGCCACACAAAGGGACCCTTCTGTGTAGGGCAGCGTCACTAACCCCAGCACTTAGTGTGCCAGGGCCCTAGGATCCACCACAGCCCCCACATAGTCCTATCCTGCTGCCTTGGGCCTGTGGAGGATATGCCTCAAAAAAAATAAAAATAGTTATGGGCCCATCCTAGAAGTTTCCATGAGTTTATGTCACCAAGCTTTGTTGTGATTCGGATACAAGAAAATAAAGCCTTTTTTTTTCTTTTAAAGTTCGAGACAGGGTTCCTCTGTAGCTTTGGAGGCTGTCCTGGAACTTGCTCTGTAGACCAGGCTGGCCTCAAACTCACAGAGACCCACCTGTCTATGCCTCCTGAGTGCTGGAACTAAAGGCATGCGCCACCACTACCCGGCCAAAGTAAAGGCTTTGCAAAAGTCCCATGGTGTTTACTTCTGCCTCACATCAGCCTGAATAACCCAAAGTTTCCCAAGGTCCACCCCTTCTGGCCTCTTGTCCCAACCTCACAGGCTTGGTTATGGGCACTACTGTCTTTTATCTCTAGTTGTATGTTTACCGCAAACCAGGCACTGGGCCAAGAGACTGACACGGCCTCATTTATTCCCCATAACCACCTGGGGAATCAATGCCATTAACATCCTCACTTTAAAAAACAAAACAGCCAGTCAATCAAAGCTTGGAGAATAACCTGTCCGAGGTCACACATGTAGAGTGCACCAGAGCTTGGGTTTGAATTCCCGCCCATATGCAGTCTCTTAATTATTACATCTCAGTCTTTGCAGTGGGTAGTACTAACAGTACCATTGGATGACCTATGAAACGCAGGAAACCCCGAAGCTATAGAAAGGCATGGCTGCCGATGGGTCCAAAGAACTGCGCACGGACCGTGTCCCCTCAGCACCCAACCCCCGGAGCACACTCACGGCTGCAGGTCTTGCCATTGGGGTCCAGAGCGTAGCCCCGACGGCAGCGGCAATAGTGGCTCTCTTCCGTGTTGACACACTCATGCTCACAGCCTGGTTTGTTCAGGGCACAGTAGTTGATCCCTGAGGGGAGAAAGTGAAGATCTTCCTTCAGACTCCGGGAGGCCGTTAGGGACGACTCCAGGGTTCTCCCAGCCCCCCACGGAGAGAGCTGGCAGGAATTACGATTCATCCATTCATTTACCAACCACGGGCCAGGCCCTAAGTTAGATGTGTGGATGCAAATTTGAGCACCCCACCCTCCTTCAGGGGTTTGTGCTTTGGAGACACGACAGGGAGGGATCGGGAACATTAGACAGCAAGGATGTGACTGAGTGCCAAGGAATGAAGTGAGGTTATTATTGATGCCTTCTACGCTCTTCACTGCCGGGTTATGCCATAAACCCATGAGCGGCGTGAACGGGCCAGGTACGGATGTGACTTCATCTGGTAGGGCCTGGCAATGCCAAAGTCAGACGTCAGAACCACGAGATAATAAATGTCCTTTATGCATGTCAACTCATACAAGAGTTGGAGAGAATTTCAGTCTGAGAAGGTCCAGGCTGAAAACACCAATGATGAGCAACCCCACATATCAAGTTATGATATGAGTGGCCCAGAGAAGAAACTCCAGAAAAACGGGAAAGGTTAAAAATGTTGATGCAGAGAGAGTCCAAACTCTTCATTTAGGAAATCGGGGTCCAGGGCGGTGAAAGTATCTAGTCCAAAGTGACACAGCTGATGTGAATGGCAATGCTTAGAAAAGACCTTGTGACTCATAGCTCAGACCAATTAGAGAATTCACGCTGGCTTTTTTTTTTGAAGGTTTTTAAATCATTCTTTAATTATATGTATATACACATTTAGTTATATAATATATATATGTACATACATATATCACATACGAATGTATAAATATATACATATATGACAGATAAATTCTTACCGAAGTCCTTCCTGATCACAGAATACTGCCTGTTATACTTTTCCATTTCCTATACCTGGTCCATCAGCCTCATAGGACACACTGATCTGTTGACATTATTAATTTTTGAAAAGATAATTGAGAAACATTCATCAAACATTCTGGAGGACAAAGTCCTGTGCCGGTGTTTGTAGACTGTGTTATGTTTGTCCAAAAACAATAATTTCCCTTGATCTCTTATGACATGTAACTCTTAGTGATTAGCTATGGTAACAGAAGTTCACACCGGCTTTTAAGGATGCTGTTTCAGTTACAATGAGCCCTAGCCTGAGTACCAGAGTCTGGAATCTCAGACTCCAAGCCCTGGGTCACATCTGCAATCCATTCAACCTCAGCTTCTGCTGAGGGTCCAGGCTTTGCATCACCTGACTAGTGATTAGTGTCTGAAATCAATGAGGGCCACTCACCGTCCAGGAGGAGGAAGGAGTCCTGGCTGAGGACTTTCCTTCAGTATGACGCTGCCCTGAACTACTTTTCCCTGTTTAATCGGATGATACCGAATTCTTTGGAAACAGATTGTTTTTAATTAGATTTGAAAGTAGCCTCCCGTCACATGCAAATGGCCCAGTGTCCGTAAGACTCAGAGCACTCAAGAGATCTTAGATTCCTAATTACAGACCTCAGATTTTTTATTTTAAGCCAATTGCTCTGCTTCTCTCTCTGCCGTGTAATTCTCTAGAGAACGCGGCGTTGCCTTCCACTCCCAGCTGCCTGACACAAGGCAGGACTGAGTGCAAGCATTAAGCCAGGGCAGCTCCGACAGGCTGACCTCAGAGGTCCCGGCCTGGGCTCACAGCAAAGACAACGGAAAACGTAATGACGAGGAGGGACGATTGAGAGACGAGGACACCAGTTCTTAGGAAAAGTTCTGGTTTTCCTGGATTAAAAAAAAAAAAAAAAGCAGGGCCCCTGGGTGCAGAGGAAATGGAGCTGTGTCACCATCAGACACGCGCGGGCGAGTGTGAGGGATGCTGGCAGGAGCCGCGGCCGACCAAGCCGTCCGTCTTTGGGCCAGTTTGGGGTCCTGGAGCTGCCCTCTCAATCCCTGTCCACTCAACAGACTCCACCCCCTCCCATCCCTCGGGGGATGTGTGCAGCGTCTGCTGTAGAGGCCTCTCTCCTTCAAGCGTGTCCCCAGCGGGGTGTGGAGGGAGACCAAGCAGATCCAGTTACACTGTGACTTCTCCAGGGTGATGTGTCTCAGAGCAACTCTCCCACTCGCTCGCTCGTTCGCACAGGATCCGTGCCGCCAAGCCTGCACTCAGCCCACCCTGAGCCAAAGGCGAGCAGCTGGTAGCCCTTCTTCCAGTCTGGTATCCTTCGGGGACAGTCTGGTTTGTCTGTGTGTGTGTGCAAGTGTGTGTGTAAGAATGCATGTATGTATGTGTGTGTGTTTATATGGGCATGTATGTGTGTAGGTATGTATGTGTGTGTAGGTTTGTAAGAATGTATATATGTGATATTTGTGTGTATGTATGTATATAAGTGTATGTATGCATGTGTGTGTGCGGGTATGTATGAATGTAAGAATGTATGTATATTGTATGTATGTGTGTGCAGATATGTATGAATGTAAGAACGTATATATGTATGTGTGTGAGTATGTAACAATGTCTGTATGTATGTGTGTATGTGAGTATGCATGTATGTATGTATGCATGTATGTATGTGTATGTGAGTATGTAGGAATGTATGTATGTATGTTGTATGTATGTGTGCAGATATGTATGAATGTAAGAATGTATATATGTATGTATGTAAGAATGTATATATGTATGTGTATATGTGAGTATGCATGTATATATCTGTGTGTATGTGAGTATGTAGGAATGTATGTATGTATGTGTGTATGTGAGTATGTAAAAATGTATGTATGTGTGTATGCATGTGTGTATGTGTGTATATGTGAGTATGCATGTATGTATGTATGCATGTATGTATGTGTGTATGCATGTATGTATGTATGCATGTATGTATGTGTATGTGAGTATGTAGGAATGTATGTATGTATGTGTGTATGTGAGTATGTAAAATGTATGTATGTATGCATGTATGTATGTGTGTATATGTGAGTATGCATGTATGTATGTATGCATGTATGTATGTGTGTATGCATGTATGTATGCATGTATGTATGTGTATGTGAGTATGTAGGAATGTATGTATATATGTGTGTATGTAAGTATGCATGTATGCATGTGTGTGTATGTTAGTATGTAGGAATGTATGTACATATGTGTGTGTGTGTGTGTGTGTGTGTGTGTGTGTGTGTGTGTGTGTGTGTGTGCAGATACTGGTGATCTGGCCTAGAGGTCTGCTTTGGAGTAGGCGCTCTAGTTGCTGGCTGTCCCCTCCGTATTTCAGGTGACAGACACGAGTCACCCGTACTTCCTCATCCCGTCCTGCTGATGCTCTGCCCCCCTGAGTGCTGCTGCAGTGCCTAGGGCATTGCTCTCCTTCTTCCTTCCCATCAAGAAGGACAGAATCTTAATGTCCCCACTCTTAGCAGCCATCAAGTGTCCCATCTGGTAAGGCTTGAAGAAACCAGCTCCTCTAATGTCCCATCTCTGTGCCCGGCCTTTTCTTCTCCCTCAAGGTTCCATAAATACTCCGTGGGGACATGGAACTGGGGTGCACACTTCAAGGAGATGCTTCAGAAGGGGCTGAGTCGCTAAACAAATCACAGGACCAGAGCCGGTCTATTCAGTCTCTAGGAAAACATCCCACAATAGATTCTAGGGACCACAGGAACACGAGAGCAGAAGGATGTTAGTAAAAACAAGTGCCCATCGCAAACACAGCATTTCGGCGGAAAGGAACACCGGCGGAGTGGGCTGGGGCCACTTACTTCGGCAGGTTTTCCCGTCTGGGTTCAGCATGAAGCCTTTCAGGCAGCGGCAGAAAGCGGACGTCAGGCCATTAACACACTCATGCTGACACCCATGATTAGATAAGGCGCAGTGGTCTATCTCTGGAAGGGAAACACAGTCCTAGGAATCATGAATAAGTCAACACGGCTAGCCATGGAAACCAGGCTTCTCAGTTCCCATTTCTCCCAAGTGTGTAAAACACATGCCTCGAGATCTAGGCCCTGTGGAGCGCTCTTCAAAAAAGCATTTCCATGTCTAGAGGTCTTTTATTGTTTGCTATTGTTTTCTCGAGATAGGGTTTCTCTGTGTAGCTCTAGCTGTCCTGGAACTCCCTCTGTAGACCAGGCTGACCTCGAACTCACAGAGATCCGCCTGCCTCTGCCTCCTGAGTGCTGGGATTAAAGGCTTGCGCTGCTGCCACCACCACCACCACTACCTGAAGGAGGTGTGGCCTTGTTGGAGGAGGTGTAGCATTGTTGGAGGGGTGTGTCCTTGTTGGAAGAGGTATGTCCTTGTTGGAAGAGGTATGTTTTTGTTGGAGGGGTGTGTCCTTGTTGGAGGAGGTGTGTCCTTGTTGGAGGAGGTGTGTCCTTGTTGGAGGAGGTGTGTCCTTGTTGGAAGAGGTATGTCCTTGTTGGAGGAGGTGTGACCTTGTTGAGGTGTGGCCATGTTGGTAGGGGTGTGGCCTTTTTGGAGGAGGTGTGGCCTTGTTGGAGGGAATGTGTCACTGGGACATGCTCTTTGAGGTTTCAAAAGCCCACGGCAGGCCCAGCGTCTTTGCCTGTCTTTGCCCGCTGCCCTAGGATCATGATGTAAAAATGCTCTCAGCGCCTTCTCCAGCAACCACTATGCTCCCTGTCATATGAACTAATGAACTAATGCTAATGAACTAATCCTCTGAAACTGTAAGCAAACCCCCAGCTAAATACTTTATTTTATGACAGCTGCCTCGGTCTCGTGGTGTCTCTTCACAGCTACAGAACGGTAACTAAGACACCAAGAAAAGGTGGAAAGAGAAACAAACCTAATAAAGTTGTCCCCTGACCTCCACACATGTGCCAAGATCAGCAAGATGGCTGGACACGCCTGATAACCAAGACCAGCAAGATGGCTGGACACGCCTGATGACCTAAGTTGGGTCCTTGGAACCCACATAGTAGAAGGAGAAAACTTCTAATCTACAAAGTGAGCTCCAGAACAGCTAGACACTCTAAAGTTGTCCTGGATCTCCACATATTTACCATGGCACGCAAATATCTACACACACACACACACACACACACACACACACACACACACACACTTAAAAACAAAACAAAACAAAACCAAAAAACCCTAAACATGGCCTGGAGAGATGACTCATCGGTTAAGAGCACCGGCTGTTCTTCCAGAGGTCCTGAGTTCAATCCCCAGCAACCTCACGGTGGCTCACAACCATCTGTAATGAGATCCGGCGCCCTCTTCTGGCCTGCCGGTGTACATGCAGACTGAACACTGCATACATAATAAATAAATAAATGTATGTCATAATACTTTTTAAAATTTAAAGTCTGGGAAGGAAATGAAATGAACTGGGATTAGCCATACTTGTCTCTGGCCCAATGGAGTACAGATGATTTTATTTTATGCAACTTCATTTCTGTAAGAATGGGTTGCCTACAGTAAACTCATCTCTTACTTTTGTTATAAAAATAATTATATCCATTCACGATTACAAAACCAGTTGCCATGGAAAATAACAAACGACATAGAAGAGAGAACAGTGTAGGAGGTATTCAGAGATCTGAAAAGGAAATAATGGGTGAACATGGCTAAGAATACCATACATAGCCAGAGCTGGGCTTTTTTTTTCTTCTCTTTTTCTCTTACCATGCGCCAACACAAAGTAAGTCCTGTAAGGACTGAGATATAAGCCCTGTGTACAACTGTACCTAGCATATGACAGGTACTGAGTAAATCTGGCTGGATGCATAAATGATTATGGCTTCTGCTCCCAGTAGAGTAATAACTCATGGGTATTTTGCGTGTATGCGTGTCTGCGCGCCATGTGCAAGCCTGGTGCCCTAGGAGTCTAGAAGGTGGTGTTGGATGCCCTCGAATTGCAGCTACAGATGGTTGTGAGTCACCATGTGGGTGCTGGGAATCAAACGGGTGTCCTCTGGCCAATGCTCCTAATTCCTGAGTCACCTCTCCAGCCCCACACTGACAAATTTGATTGTGTGTGTATGTATGTATATATATATGTAGTTACAGCAATAATAATAATAATAATAATAATAATAATAATAATAATAAAAATAAATCCCAGCCAATGTGTTTGCAAATGGGGGTTTCTCCCCACTGGGATGTGTTCAGCTGATTTAGGAAAGGATTGTTCTTAAAAGGGGGTGCGTCTATGATTTTGTTCTTTATACTTGATCTTAGCCAGAAGTGATTGTTTTTTGTTTTTTATTTTTCAAGACAGGGTTTCCCTGTGTATCCCTGGCTGTCCTGGAATTTGCTCTGTAAGCTAGGCTGGGTTTGAATTCAGAGATCCCTATGCCTCTGCCTCCTGTGTACTGGGATTAAAGGCATGCGACACCAGAGACCACGTCTTGCTATAGAGCCTGGATGGCTTGAAATTTGCCTCATAGACCAGGTTGGCCTTATACCTGCAGTGCCTCCCCAGGGGTGGGGTTACAGGTGTGTATGGCCACACTCCGCTGTGGCTTCTGGATGCCACTAATCTCTGTTGAACTACATTACTTGTTCAGGACATGGCACATTTTGACCCAATCACACATTAGTCATGCCTGGTGTATTACCTTGACTAGAGTACTTTCTACAGACAACACAGGTACAGTCACTCGTTGGCTCTGATTTTTAAGTATGCTTTATTTAGAGAGCTGACTCAGCACTTAAGAGTGCATATAGCAGGGCTGGAGAGATGGCTCAGTGGTTGAAAGCACCGATTGCTCTTCCAGAGTACATGGGTTCAATTCCCAGCACCCACATAGCAGCTCATTAACTATCTGTAATTAGTTCCAGGGGACCTGACACTTCTACACAGGCAAAACAACAATGCAAAATAAATGAGTAAAAATTAAAAAAAGAGTGCATATAGCTCTTGCAGAGGACCCAAGTTTGGTTCCCAGCACCTACACGTAGTGGTTCACAAACCCCTATAATCCCAGTTCCATGGACTCCAGCACCACCTATTGGACTCTGTGGGCATTTGCGCTCACTTGTGTATAGAATATCCCCCAACAAATATCTTAAAAAATAAAATATAGGGATTGAAAGGTAAAGAACTGATTTTATTATTATTATTATTATTTTACTAATCTTTTGAAAGTGCTTAAGAACTGGATTTTTTTTTCTTCCAGCATGAGAGTTCTTGGCCAGGTGGCTGGGGCTGTGACACCTCAAGAGTCACCAACAAGGTGGCTGGCTGCCTGGCTGCTGCTGGGTTTGTCCCCCACGTCTCTGTCCTTGCCACTGGCTGCTTCTCAACCCGTGCCTGTCCTGCTGTAGACAGGACACTCGGGTGTACAAGCGGGTTTTCTCCTTACTTCCCTCGTCACTTTCTAAGTATTACCAGGCTTTTCCATCTGGCTCCTGTTAGCACCCTGGGATGGTGGGAAGGGTGGCCTTTCTAGGGGGGCATCCACCCTAATGCTGCTGGCCTGGACCTCACAACTTTCCCAGCATTCCTCTCTGCCCACGCACTGGGCTGGCCGGCCTCACGCTCTTGCCTCCAACATGGCCTGAAGATAGCTGGGCTGCTGGCTCCCAGCCTGGCTGGTGAGACCTCCCAGCTGTAAGAAGCCCTGACTCCCAGCCAGACCTCTCCCAGTTCCTACCTCAGGATCTGATGGGCAAAGCTTGGACCCCCTCGTCTGCACCACTCTCGGCTTTGGGATAGGATCTAGTCATAAGGGGACACGCTGAGGCGGTTTTGGGGGAGATGGTGCCGTTCTGGAGATCAGCGTGGGAGTGAGAGTCAGGACTCTTCCAGGGAGGAAGCTCTGAGAGTAGACAGATGCATTTTCCCCGTTCCCTTGACCATCGGGCAGTGCTTTCCTCCACCCTAGTCCCACTGTAGGCCCTGGGTTACGTTCATCCTGGGCTGTGTGTGACTCAGCTGCTCAGTGTGGCATTACTTGTGTCCCTTCCAATTCCAATAGTCGTCTTGAGTTTGTATGTACCTCTACGTTTAGTCAAGACATGCCCATTAATGCTGAAATTCTTTGAGGCCGGTATTATCTTTGTGTTTGTGTGTATGTGTTCATGTGTGCGCAGGCGTACGGGTGTATATGAATGTGCGTGTACTCGAGTGTGTGGAGGTCAGAGGTCAACACCGTGTGTCTTCTTCACTTGCTGTCCATCCGATTCTTTTGAGTCAGGGTCTCTCTCTCTCTCTCTCTCTCTCTCTCTCTCTCTCTCTCTCTCTGAACCTGGAGTTCACCCATTTATCTAGAATGGTTGGAAGGCGAGCCTCAGGGAGGCTCCTGCTTCCACCTGCTCAATGTGTGCCCTTTTCCACAGGGGTACCAGAGAGTCGAGCCTCATTGCTGGCACGGCAGTCACACCTTTAGCAATTGAGTCACCTCCCCAGGCCCCAGTATCATCTTTCATTAGCTGGGGGTGGCAGCATCGGCAGCGCATGTCTTTAATCCCAGCACTCAGGAGGCAGAGGCAGGAGGATCTCTGTGAGTTCGAGGCGAGCCTGGTCTACAGAGTGAGTTCCAGGGCAGCCAGGGCTACACAGAGAAACCCTATCTGGAAAAACAAACAAAACCTTAATTAGAACCTGGCAATTTGACCAATCATTTCTACAAACCATCTCATTTAGTCTTCAAGGCAACGGTGTGAATTACCATCCGGTGACTATCAATCACCCCCTGCTGCAGTTGAGGTTTGCCCAAGATCACCCAGAGAAAAGGCAGAAATGCTGTGATGGGAAGCAGGAGCACAGGGTCGGGCTTTGATGGGGGGTGGTGACTCACCATTGGCCCAGCAGCCACAGCTCCCGGCCACAGTGACAGCCTGACCTTTGTTCAGAATGTGTGGTCTCTTGGGTGGGAATAGATGGACAGCATCTCGCTGAGAACTGCTCCTACTCAACCTCACATTCCCCCCAGAAGGAAATAAAGAACTGTACATGTAGTGGGCACGGAGGTCTAAACGCCCTTCTGGTCTTATTGTAACACTGTTTCCTTCTTTTAGCATCAATAAAGAACTGTGCATTTAGCTATGTAGTGGGCATGGAGCTCTAAGTGCCCTTTTGGTCTTGTTGTAACACTGTTTCCTTCTTTTAGTATTCCCCGGCTCCCCTGCTGCGTGTGGTGAATGACTGCTCACTTTAAAATCCTGCCAAGGTCTGTCTGCATTCAAGACTTTGCCTCCTTCATCTCTAATGGCTCATGGTTGGGGCTCCAGTAGTTTGGAGGTAGCATGTCCCTGCCTCTGGGGTTTTAAGCTACTGGTGTTAAAAGATTAAAGAAAAGGAAATCAGAGGGAGGCTTTTGAAAACATCCACAGGAGTACACACTGGATGGACCTTTGGAAGGTGGAAGGTACACAAAGTTTTTATCAATTAAAATCCTATTTTTTGATACACATTGCTTCGATGCCTTATTCTATTTTTTGTTTTGTTTTTGTTTTTTCCAGACAGGGTTTCTCTGTATAACAGCTCTGGCTGTCCTGGAACTTGTTTTGTAAACCAGGCTGGCTTCAAATTCACAGAGATCCTCCTGCCTCTGCCTCCGCAGTGCTGGGATTGAAGGCGTGTATCACCAATGCCCAGCCCTTATTTTATTCTGATCATTAAAATATCACTGGGCCCTAATACTTCAGAGGCAGGCATCTCTTAAGTGACATGTCTACTGTATTGAAGGATAATAAACTCCCCACAGAAGCCCCAGAGTGTCCTCTTGCCCCTTTATATTTAGAGGAATAATTCTGGCATCTTTTTTATAAAACTGGTGCTCATCTTTAGTTTGTAGGCATTGTGTTGCAATTTAGGAATTTAAATTGATTTCAACACTTACGCACATAGCTAAAAATCAAATAGAACTAAACAGACTAAAGAAAACTTGGGCAGTTCACCTCTTCCCCACCCCACCACCCCAAGAAACCACATTCTGTTCCTTCTGGCTCAGTGATTCTCTCTGGTCGTCATGTGGAGTCAGAGCTGGAGCCCACAAGCCACAAAGCTTCGGTGAACATACGCTCCAGGCCCTGTTATAACGAGAGGCACAGCCAAGCTGAGGTAGCATGGGGGACGGATGCGGGATTTGATTGTTAGCCCGCTAAGCACACGCAGGAAGAGCACGCCTGCACGGAGCCTCCAACAAAAGACGCCTTCAGATATTTTGACTGGGGAGACATTGAAACCAAGTAAGCCACAGTCTTAGGACGATTTAGAAAGGCTTAATGGAGGAAGAATAAGGGCGGAACCCCATGACTTAGCATGTGGTAGTCTATACTAGGGAGAGTTCTATGTCCACAGTGCCCACAGCAGTTGTACTCTGTGTGTGTGTGTGTGTGTGTGTGTGTGTATAACTTACTTGTGCATGTTTTCTTATCTGGGTTAAGAGCAAATCCCTCACGGCACTGGCACAGGTAGGAACCTTCAGCGTTTACACACTCGTGCTCACATCCATGATTTTCTGAGGCGCAGAAGTCCACGGCTGCAGAGAACAACATACATTTACATATTAGAAGTGCAGAGAAGTGGACAGCGGAATGTCAGAATACCTATAACAAATATAATTAGAATTAATATTGTCTTCCCCAGCAAAGGGCATGGATTAACAAACATTCCCCAAGATCCCCCTCCAAAAAAAATCAAGATTTTTTTATATTAGGTTTTCATTCCAGAAGATAAAAACTATATGGGCAATTACATTTAAAAGTCAGAGAAATGCAAATAAAAATTATCACAAGGTGATGGGGGATGTCCTTCTGTATATGTTTCTCTTATTGGTTGATGAATAAAACAGTTTGGCCAATAGAGGCAGGAAGATAGGCGTGACTAGGAGATGAGGAGAATTCTGGGAAAGGTAGGTAGAGAGAGCCCATGAAAGGATGCCATGTAACCGACAAAGGAGTAACAGGTCCAGGCATTCTCTGATAAACCAAGACCACATAAAAATACATAGATTTATAGAAATGGATTAATAATTAAGACAGAGCTAGTCAATAAGAACCACTAGCCATTGGCCAACAATTTTATAATTAACATAAGTCTTTGCGTGTTTATTTGGGGCTAAAGTGGCAGCAGGACCTGGCGGGAAAGAAAACTCCAGTAACAGCAAGGCACATATATACCTCCTGAACTAGGGGAAACAGAGATGAGGTCAAACCTAATGGCAGGTGTGGGTGTCGCTCAATGACAGCACACTTGTCTTGTATTCAAGAGGCTTTTAAGACCAACACCATAAGAACAAACAACAAACAGATGAAGACCCAACGCAGTAAGACAGCACAAACAACATGTCAGCATAAGTCCTCATCAGTCCCATAAAAATCCACTGAGCATTTACTACGTATCAGGCCCCGTTTTAGATGCTAGAGACGGAGTAAATGGCAAATGAGACCCCACCCAGTCTGTAGGCGTTAGCCTCGGTGGTGGTGGAGGTGGTAACAGACAGAAGGCATCGAATAACACAACCCATTAGGAAATGGAGAATGTTCTGGAGGAAACAAGAGTGAATAGGACCCATTAGGGAAGGACACTGGGTGGCAGAGGTGGTCACAAAAGGATTCTCCACATAGGTGGCTGGCATTCCTGAGTGAGGTACCCGCCCCAAGGGCACTCAGGAGTGAGCATCCCAGGGGAAGAGGGTAAATATAGGACCAGGAGGTGAGAAGATGCCCTGGGCCAGTGCAGAGCAGGGAGGGAGGTAGAGACGAGAGTGGTGTGGTCCAAAGAGACATGTGGGTTTCAAGGACATAAAGCACTCTCGACCTCAGAATTGGAGTCCGTGGCTTACAGAGGTAAGGAAGCTAAGATGAAGACACTACGGTCAGCCGTAAGCAGTGTGGCTGATGAACACGGCAGGAACGTGGCTCAGGAGGCAAAGATACAGCCAGGCATAGAGCTCTGGGTCACCCCCTGGAGCCTACATGGAAAGAAAGGTGGACACGGTGGATCACATCTGCAACCCCAGCGCTGCTATGGCAGGAGGCTCAGAGGTCAGCTAGCTGGAGTGTGCAGAGAGCTTGCCTCACAGAAGGGAAGATGGGAGTGCTGCACAGGACTGCTGCAGCACACACACACACTGCATACACACACATACACACTGCATACACACACACACTGCATACACATATACACATTGCATACACACACATACATACTGCATGCACACATACACTGCATGCACACACACTGCACACACACATAATGCATACAATCACACACTGCATACACACACATACACACTGCATACACACACATACACACTGTACGCACACACATATTGCATACATACACATACACACACACTGTATACACACATACTGCATATACACACTCACTGCATACACACTACAAACACACACATACTGCATACATACACACTGTATACACACACTCACTGCAAACACACACTCACTACATACACACACTGCACACACACCACATACACACTGCCTACACACACTCACTGCATACACACACACTGCATATACACTGCATACACACACTCACTGCATATACATAAACTTCATATACTCATCGCACACACACACACACACACACACACACACACACACACTGCATACACTCCAAACTGTATATGTCTAGTGATTGTAGCCTTTTTGCTAAAGCAGAGTTCCAAAACGAGAAATGAAAATTCTTTCTGCATTCAAGTGATAGGACTAGATGATATATAGATAGATGATGGATAGATAGATAGATGATATATACATAGATAGATGATAGATAGATGATATATGTATATAGATGATAGATAGATAGATAGATAGATAGATAGACAGATAAACTCCTTTCCCTGAGTGTTCATAACCAATTCTTGACAAATCAATGCTTTCCTTTCTGCTAAGACTTCTGGGATTTCATTTGGCAGAGGCAGTTGGAGCCGCTGCATATTAGACTATCTGTATATATCTTACCCTGATGTATGCTTATAAAGTAACTGCACTGGAACGCTTGTGCTCTTGAACACCTTTGTTCTTCTACAGACCATGTGGCATGTCTATAAGGCATGCGTGGTTGTCAGGGTGTGGTCTGTGAACTGCTTACATCAACAATCATTTGCAAACTTGCCCTTAATAGTAGTTCTCAGGACCTGCCCTAGACAAGTGGAATCAGAAACTCTGGGTATGGGAACCTCGAATCTGTGTTAACAAGCCCCTAGGGGATTCTGATGCATGCTAAATTTTAAAAGCCTCTGTTAAAAAGCAAGAACATACTGCACATGCCATAAAAATTAAGCCAACAGCTTTAGAGAGTCTTGAGGTTATGAGCCGATCAAAATTGCTATGAGAACAGCAATTTTACGCTGTTATAAATATAAAAGATAGGAACATTTTTTTCCCTGTAACATCAACAAGGATTCTGACCCCAGATGATTTTTCAGAATTTTTCAAATCCTGTGCCAACTTAAAGAATTCCAAACTGAAAAATCAGACAATATGTCACGGGAATTAATTATACAACCAAGATTTTAAATATCATATTTTTTCCAAATAAGCCTACTTAACATTTTGAAAGTATTAGTAAATATAGCTATCATTAAACGCACACTTGTTTTTAAACAAAAACAATTTAGATACATTTGTATATATGTAGATGTTTGAGATGGAGTTGTTGTTTTGGGGTTTTATGGCAGGGATAGAGTCTCAGAACATAGACTAGGCTAGGGTTTAAGGCAGGAATAGAGTCTCAGAACGTAGACTCGCCTGGCCTGGAACCCATAGCAATGCTTCTTGAGTGCTTAGATTACAAGAGTGTGCCACCATGCCTACCCAGCTCAATGTGTAGCATAGGATATCCCCACTCAGTGTATAGTGTAGGATATCCTGGCTCAAAGTGTAGTGTGGGAAATCCCAGTTCAATGTGTAGTGGAGGATATCCCAGCTCAGTATGTAGTGTAGGATATCCTGGCTCAATGTGTAGTGGAGGATATCCCAGCTCAGTATGTAGTGTAGGATATCCCAGCTCAGTGTGTAGTGTAGGATATCCCAGCTCAATGTGTAGTGTGGGATATCGCAGCTCAATGTGTAGCAAAGGATATCCCAGCTCAGTATGTAGTGTAGGATATCCCGGCTCAATGTGCAGTGTGGGATATCCCAGCTCAGTGTGTAGTGGAGGATATCCCAGCTCAGTGTGTATTTTCCATCCCTTAGCCAACCACAGGACACTTTCACAGATGAGCTTCTCCCAGGCCTTGATTCTCATGCTGCTTTATTCTGTGTATGCACTAAGACAGGACTCAGTGACTGTAGGTTCCTAAGACCCCAGTCTATAAAAACCTCAAGGTTTCAATGCTATCCATTCACTCACTGCCAAGCCACTTAGGGATGGCAGCTCAGGCCACCACTCAGCAGTTGGATGTGAAGAAACCCATTTTCAGTCATGTGACCCTCAAAGAGTTTTAAGGTCCTGGGAGGTCTATCTAGTCCACTCAGCTCTGGCATCCGTCGCTAAATATGTTAGATCTGTTACATAACTTCCTTAGTTGCAAAACTGTATTTGTGTAAAGGAAGACCAAGGCTGGGGGCAGATGCATGCAGCTCCTCTCCAAGCCGGCAGCCTCTCTGTTAAGAGAAGCTTTTTCTTTGAGAGTAGCCTTCCCACCAGCCTGGTTCTAGAGCCCCATCAGTCCCAAATAAACACACAGGAGGCTGTATTAATTATGAAGCTGTTGGCCTTGCTTGTTTCTTACTGGCTAGCTCTGACTTAAGTAATTACCTCATAATTGTTAATCTAAGTATGTCTCTTACCGGAGAATAGTTCCGGGCTCCTACCTCATGGCGTTACATCTCGAACTCCCTGTGTTTCTCCTTCCCAGAGTTCTCCTGGACTCCTAGTCCCTCCTATCTTGGTTCCCTATAGGCTCAACAGTACTTTATTGACAAATGCACAGGACTTCCCCCAACACCTCTCCACTGTTCTAGATCCTCACCTACGGCCACAAAATCCCTTCCGTCCTCTCTGCCCGGAGTCTCGATGTGCTCCTCCACAGACGGAACGATCACAGCCACTCCTGGCTATCATGTCTCGTCCAGGCAGAGGGCTAAAGTCCAGAGTCACGAGTGAACCTTGCCATATCCGGGCTCTGCCCGGCGTGTGAAAAAAACACCCAGCCGTCCCCAGAGACAAAGACTAAGTAAGATGGGCATTCGCCATGATGCTTTGTCATAACAACAGGACACGACTGAAGATTCCCTCTCCGTCACGGTCTACAGTTCCTCACGAGCACATTCTCTCCCCCGCCCCCACAGCCTTAGCCTATCGTTGGTAGATAATTTTTCTTGCCCTTGGTTCTTCCTGCGTCCTGTATGTGGCTGAGATTAAAGGCTCAGTCCTCCATCCACGGCTCACTCAACTCCTCATCAACGGGCAGGAAATGATGGCCATCGTGACTAGTGCATGCCGGGAACGGTACTTAATTAATCCTCTCAAACCTATGCGGTAGGTGTTATGACTCCTCACTGTGGACGAGGAAACCAAAGCTCAGAGCTTTACATGAAATAAAGACGTGTTTCACCGGGAGTTGGGATGTCAGGCTTGAAGGTCCGGATGTCTTCAAAACAAGTGAAGACACATAGAACAACAACAACAAAAAAAACCCTAAATGGACATTAAAAGGAATGAGGGGAAAACATGTCGCTTCCTGCCTGCATTGTTGGCTTTTGAAGTTTCTCTCCTGCCCTGGGCTGTTTCCTGTTCTCTCTCTCTGACATGTCCTTGCCTTGTCTCATAATTCCAACCTTGCATTGCTTAAAACTCCAGGCTGTCTTTCCTTGAATCCATTCTCATCTCTCTTCCAACACTGTAACATTCTCCTCAGTCTCAGAAGCTCAGCTTCCTACAGAAATGATCCCTGATAGCCGGCGTTGGTGGTGCACGCCTTTAATCCCGGCACTCGGGAGGCAGAGGCAGGCGGATCTCTGAGTTCGAGACCAGTCTGGTCTACAAGAGCTCCAGGACGGCCTCCAAAGCCACAGAGAAACCCTGTCTCGGAACCCCCACCCACCCCTCCAAAAAATAAAAGAAGCTCAACGTCATGAGATTTCAGTTGTGTCCAACCCAGGATAGCCATGAAGCAGCCCAACACGAAATTATGATCTTACTTAAGACATCACGAGGCGACTTCTTTGTTCTGTTTTTGGGATATTCTGTAGCCCCTGGAGTCTTCGTCTTTGAGACTAGTGCCTTTGTTAGGCTGCTTGTGTAGCTTCGATACTGAAAACACGGTTCCACCTCCAAACCCCCACTGCCCGTCACGTGGGCTCTTGGTTGCTCATCTGTCCAACGGCTACTCTTCCTTCTATGTACAGATCTTCTAGCCTAGCTCCTCGGGTGTCTCTCTTCTCTCCCTCTGTCCTCCCCCAGGGGCCCTACGATTCACTGCTCTCTCAACACAGACCGTGGCACGTCGTGACGGTTGAGAGATTTGACTCCCTAACTGAGGCTACTGGCCACAGAGCTCTACCGGGGGCTCATCTCACATCCGCTTCCCACAGAGGCTCGGTCGGTGGCTGTCCAGGAGAGCTGTGAAGATGGCAATGCTGGGTCACATCAGGATACACAGTTCCTCTTGGCTTACCATTCCCCTGCTTGACCGCCTAATAACAGCCAAGACATTCTTGGCATTTCGGTTGTGAGCCTAGCCCTTTAACGGCTGGGCCATCTCTCCAGCCCAAGACGTTTTCGTACACGCTTGTAAGCGTCAGCAGGGAAGACACCCGTCCGGATGAATACGGCCCAGCACTTCTGCCGGCAACCGCAACAAGTTCTCTCTCGCTCACTCTTTCTGCTCTTCAGCAAACGTGGAATTTCAATCTCACAGCAGAATCCCCAGAGACACAAAGATTCTCTGCCACACTGGGACAATTAGGCAATCATTTGGTAATACAGAGAGGACTGGGTCCCCCACTACCCTCGAGTTTCCCAACCTCCCATGAGCTGGCCTCCTGCTCGTCTATGCCCTGCGACTCCATAAGCTCGTAGTTTCTTCCATTTCCTCCTCGACTCAGTCAGTCAGAACCGTGTTCCAGACTCCTCGACACTTGTTCCCTGTCCTCCCTCACAAGGGCTCCGATCCCCACCTTTTCTACCTTTTTCCTTATTATTTTTAAAATTTAAATTAGAAACAAGGTTGCTTCACATGTCAATCCCAGGTCCCTCTCCCTTTCCCTCCCCTCCTCCCACGCCCTCCCACCATGCCCCCAACACCCCCTCCCCATAGTCCATAGTCTGTCATTTCATCCAGGGCAGGGCCTAGACCCTCCTCCTTTTTTTCTATCTTTAATTTTTCAATTCACAAAGTTCCTACTTATTTAACAACAGGAAGGGATAAAAAAAACAGTGACAAAACTAAACAGCATAACTTATTCTCGATCAACGTGGACAAATGTTTCGTAGTGGACATTTTTAGGGAGAGTATGGTAGAAATGTAACGAATCATTAGCAGTGGCTTTCTCTTCCTTTAAATATGAGTCGTCCAATAAAAACTAATAAAGCAAATAATAAGAATTGGTGGTGAAATGGCTTCCTTTCTGATGAGGGGCCTACAGAATACCCCGCCACTCTGTCAATGGCCACCACCAGTAAATTAACAACCCCCCATGCCAAATAAATAGCCCTAAGGCTCAATAAACCGATTCTGTTTGCTGATCTCTGATGAGGGTATTTTTTTTCAAATCTAACGATGAGCGAGGTCAGGCAAGGGAATTACAGCTAATCAGGAAGGTGCTGTGTACTGGCCTCTTGCCTTCCCACCCATCTTGTGTTGGTGGCCACACCCTTTGGGCGTGGTTTCAGGTGCAGATTTGACCCATTATAAGGTAGAGGAGGGGAGAGGAGGGGCTCTCTTGGGCTACAGAGAGGGTCCTACGGACAGAGACCGCATCTTCTGGAGCAGGAAGACCGCATTGGGTTATTTACTCTTATCTGTGTAAGGGCTTCCTTAATAAATACCTAATTGTCATTTATCTTGGGTCTGGTGGACTCACTTAAACCCAGCCTTCAGTGCTGCACACATGTTGGGGTTTACTGGCCTGCTCTGCTAGGGCTAAGGAAAACTACACCCGTCTCTCAGCAGATCACTCAGTGTGGAGTGGCCGAGTCCGGAGAGTGTTTAACTGTGAATCTGTGCTTGCAGTTTTAAGCACCTTGTAGGAATCCCTTTTCTGACTCTTGTGTTTGAGGCTTTTTGTTTCCTCTGACTATGATGTCAATGCATACAGTTGGGCCTTTCACTGAATTGCAGGTCCAAAATGAAGGATAAGGCCACCGGCGTCTTTGAGGTACTACACAACACCTCTACCCATCACCAAGTAAATCTCATATGCAACACATGAGCTGTATAGTTAGGTCCCCAGACTATGCTCCAAATCCACCCTGCCCTGTTGGTGGAAGTTCCTGTCCTAGCCACCAGTCTCTAAATAACCAATACAGAGGCTTACCATTAATTATAAATGCTCGGGACAACAGCTCAGGCTTGTTGCCGCCTAACTCTTTAACATTTAAATTAACCCATATTTCTTATCTACGCTTTGCCAAGTGGCTTGTGGCTTGTTACCTCGTTTTCCACACATCTTTGCTTCATCTGCATCTTCTGGTGTCTCCTCCGACGCCAACCTTCCTCCTCCCAGCATCCTCAGTTTATCTGTCTAGCCTATTCTTTTTGCCTGCCTATCAGCCAGTCAGTGTTTCACCAAACCAATTCGAGTGACGAATTTTTACGAGTGTACAAAGGGAGTCTCCCACAGCCCAGTCCGTTCCAAGCCGTGAGGTAAACAGGCAATTATATATTTACACAGAGCAGCATAAGCACAAGCTTCGTGCAGAGGATCTAGAATGAGCAAATACTGACCTCAAGCAAAAACGAAGTCTCTAATGCTCGAATTCTACCTAAAAGCTAGACGGAAGAAGCGACTACTTCGTCAGAACCCAAAGGGACTGTTCCGGGTTTTGTACATGTTGTTGCGCTCTGCTGCTCTCCTTCCTATAGACGTATGCGCCCTTCCTCGGCACGCAGGGCTGAAGAGACACCCACCTGCACATTGCTTCCCATCCTTGGCGAGGGTGTAGCCACCGTAGCACTGGCAGACGAAGGAACCCGGGACGTTCACACATAGCTGCTCACAGCCGTGGTCCTCTGTGGCACACAGGTCCTGGACTGAGGCAAAAATCGCACCATTAGCACACAAGCATTGAAAGAGAAGTGTTTGGCCGGGCCCACAGCAAATCAACTCTATAGCGCTCACTGCGGTCACCTTGAATAACGCCGCACGTTTTAATATATCCTCATCGTAGAGAACCGTGGGGCAAATCACCTAAGAGGAAAATCCACCTGCAGTCTTACCACACTGAGCGGCCACTGCTGACACCGTATACATTTTAGTGTACACAAAAACATTCCTTGCTTTTGGTTTTTCAAGACAGGGTTTCTCTGTGTAGCCCTGGCTGTCCTGGAACTCACTCTGTAGACCAGGCTGGGCTCGAACTCACAGAGATCTGCCTCCCGAGTGCTGGGATTAAAGGCGTGCGCCACTGCAGCCCTGCTGATGAGATTATCTTCAAAGTTGGAATTATATAGAAATTCTGTAAATAATTTTAGTTAATATCAACGTCGTATTTTCCGCTTTGAGCGTATTTTGAGGGCTCATGAGAGCCGAGTTGTGAGCAAGAGCGTCTACAAGCTCCCATAAGCATCATTCCCAGCCTTAGGGCAAACGCAGCATCATCAGTTACAGGAGATGACTTTGCTTTGTGTAGCCTTTAACATCATGCTGATTAAGGCAGCCAAGGGAGCTACAGAGTCACCACTCTGCTGGAAACAGGGAGTGGTGGTGGTTTGGATAAGAACGGCCCTCAAAGCCAAGCGGTGGTGGTGCACGCCTTTAATACTGGCACTCGGGAGGCAGAGGCAGGTGGATCTCTGTGAATTTGAGACCAGCCTGGTCTACAGAGTGAGAACTAGGACAGCCTCCAAAGCCACAGAGAAACCCTGTCTCGATAGCCAAAAAAAAAGATAAAATAAAAAGAATGGCCCTCATAGGCCCACGGATTCGAATGCTTGGTCACAGGGGATGGCACTATTAGGAGGTGTGGCCTTGCTGGAGGACATGTGTCACAGGGGGTAAGCTTTGGGGTTTCAAATGCTCAAGACAGGCCCAGTGCGCTCTCTTTCTCTTCCTGCTGTGTGCCAATCAAGATGTAGAAATCTCAGTTCCTCCAGCAGCATGCTGACATGCTGCCGACCATGGTGATAATGGGCTAAACCTATAACCTGCAAGCCAGCTCCAGTTGAATGATGTCTTTTGTAAGAGTTGCACACCCCTTTCATCCCAGCGCTCGGAAGACAGATCTCTGTGAGGTTGAGAAGCTACACAGATAAACAAAGAAGAAGAAGGAGGAGGTAGGAGGAACGAGGAAGAAGAAGAAGAGGAAGAGGAAGAAGAAGAACAAGAAGAAGAACAAGGAGAAGCAGAAGGAGAAGGAGAAGGAGAAGGAGAAGGAGAAGGAGAAGGAGAAGAAGAAGAAGAAGAAGAAGAAGAAGAAGAAGAAGAAGAAGAAGAAGAAGAAGAAGAAGAAGAAGAAGAAGAAGAAGAAGAAGAAGAAGAAGAAGAAAAGATTTGCCGTGGTCATGATGTCACTTCACAGCACTAGGTCACTGACTAAGTCCTCATGGCAAGTTCCAAGCACAACCTCCATCCCCAGGTCCCATCAACCTTTCCTCTACTTGTTCTGACTACAGGAGAGGTCTGGAAAGTTCTCCATGCACTGACTCTACACATTGATCCCCGTAACAGGAGAGGAAAACGGGGAAGTCAAGCAAAAGCAACCACGAGAGGAGCTAAGGGAGATTTCAGGGAGTGACGGAGGAGTGACTGACTATTCACGGTCTCGTTTGAGTCAACTAGTCACCACCACACATCCACAAAGTGCTGAGCTAGCTAATCACTGACACACCACAGTGCATGGGCGTGTCTCCTGCCCTGGGCATAGGAGTATGGAGAGGATGGAAAGGTTAAAGGCACCTTCAGCCCACCACTGACTCAGCCTCTCCTTGGCACTAAGGGGCAGACATGATGGTGCTGTTTCCTGGCAAGGAGAGTGCTCAGCCACTGCCGTGAAATGACTACCTCTACCCACAGTCCCGCCATTAAAAAAACAAAACAAAACAAAACAGAGAAAGCCAGAAAGCATTAAAGGGGACTGCATACACTAAAGAGAAGTTCCTTTGGTTAAAAAGTGTGATAAAGCTCAGTTATCCAGAAAGCTCTGTCAGTCCCTGACTCTCATTTATACTCTTTTTTTTTTTTTTTGAGACAGGGTTTCTCTGTATTGTTTTGGAGGCTGTCCTGGAACTCACTCTGTAGACCAGGCTGACCTTGAACTCACAGAGATCCACCTGCCTCTGCTTCCCGAGTGCTAGGATTAAAGTCATGAGCCACCAATGCCTGGCTATACTTTTTTTTTTTAAAGAGGGGACCACAAATGCAGTCCCCCACTGCCACAAATTATGCAATTGAGGGGAAACTGTAGGGGTCTGGCTCATCCAGAGTGCAATGGATAAGCCTTACCGTGGGAAAACCACCTTCATCATCACGGTATCTCTCCTGCCAGGTAAGTATTCTCATTCATAATTAGGAGAAAAAAATAAAATGTCTGCATCGCTTAAACAAAGCTTGATTTTATTTTTCACCATGAGTGCCTGTTTCTATGTGCCCACAAGCACAGCTGCCCACAGAGAGTCGGGGGTTTCAATCCTCCGGAGTTGACATCACATTGTGAGGCGCCCGACATGGTGCTGGGAACTGGACTCGGGTCCTCTGCGGGACACTGTTAGTGGCTCGGCTGCCTCCCCAGCCTCATCATTATCTCTTGCTAAAATGGCTTTCATTGCCCGGTGGTGATTGCACGTGCCTTTAATCCTATCAGTCCCAGCACTTGGGAGGCAGAGGCAGGAAAGATCTCTTGTGAGTTCCTGGGACAGCCAGAGCTGTTACACAAAGAAACTCTGTCTGAAAAAAAAAAAAAACCACCCACAAAAACCCATGTATAGCCGGGCGGTGGTGGCGCATGCCTTTAATCCCAGAACCCGGGAGGCAGAGGTAGGCGGTGTCTCGTAAAAAAAAAAAAAAAAACCCATGTATATATTACTAAATAGACAGTGCCTTGAGCAAAAGGTGCACGGTGCCTGAAGAATAACAAGGGAGGGGTCCTCTGACCTCTGCAGACATGTACACACATCTGCAGGCACACACACACACAAGTAACATCACCTACTTGGTCTTTGAATTTTGTATTGTCCTTTTAGATAAACACAATACATTGATGAAGAGATAAAACCTGACCTGACTCAGCATCTCTATTAAGTAAATAGAGCACTTTCTTTTACTTTTTACTTTTATGGGTATGGATGCTTGCCTGCTTGTGTGTCTGCGCACCGTATCCATGACAATGGAGTGCCCCAGGAGGACAGAAGAAGGCATCCTCAGGAACTGGGGTTACAACCCTTGTGAGCTGTCACGAAGCTAAACCCAGACACTCTGGAAGAGCAGCCAGTATTCTTTACCAGGGAGCCATCTCTCCAGCCTGAGCTTAAAAAATATAAATTAGAGCTGTGTAGTGGCATCTTGCCCTGCCAGTGACCAGGCTAGCTCGGTCGGTAGAGCAGGAGACTGTTAATCTCAGGGTCGTGGGTTCGAGCCCCACGCTGGGTGCCAATTGCAGGCAGGGGTTTAAATGAGTTCGCCAGACCCGAGATAAATGATAAGTAGGTGTTTTTTAAGGGAGGGACTTACACAGATAAGAGTAAATAACCGCCCATGGTCTTCCTGCTCCAGAAGATGCAGTCTCTGCCCTTCCAATGCTCCCCACAACTTAAAGCAGCTCACACCAGCTCCTCCCCTTAAGGGGTCACATCTGTACCTAAAACCACGCCCAAAGGGTGTGGCCACTACTACAAGGTCACTGGCAAGGCAAGATGCCACTACAGAGCTGGGTGGTGGCAGCAAGGGCGCACACCTTTGGTCCCAGCACTGGGGAAGCAGAGGCAGGTGGATCTCTGTTGAGTTCGAGGCCAGCCTGGTCTACAAAGAAAGTTCCACAACAGCCAGGACTGTGACACTGAGGAACCCTATCTTGTGAAAACCAAACTAAATAAAGTAAATAAACGGAAAACCCAGACTGTCACATATTAAAATGCTCAGGTCTAAGGAGAACGGAGGCTGAGGGGACATGCCGATACGGAAGACGGACTCGGCAGTCGGGTTCTGCTCTGGGAATTCCCTGGAAAGTGGCAGACGGGGCGGGAAAGATGGCAGACACCAGATGGCTGAGGGCCCTCCACTAGCCTGAGGAGTCGAACTCCGTTCAACAGACGGCAGGGCCACCCTCAAGGGAGAGACCCATGACTCCATCCAAACCGTGCTTTGTGCTTTTGCAAGTGATATGTCTGGCGGCATCTGTCACAGATATTCCCAGCTCTGGGGACCTCACCCGACTTCCAGCACTGCTCAACGAAAACTGTTGCTTTGACTGAGAACCGTGATGTGGCCGGGCTTTGACGGGCCTGTGGACCCATGGGAAATTTGCCTCTTGCTGTGAGGAGATTGACTGACGTGCTCAGAGCCTTTGGCCTTGCTCGCTGGCTGTCAGTCAGTACACACCTGTTCTCTTCCTTCCTGGCATGTATCATGATATCAGCGGTCATACGTGTTCATGCAGTGAGGCAGTCATGGGCTTCCTTACTAGACCCTAAGTCCCTTTTTGTAGGTGGCCAGCACTGTGCACCAAGTCCTGCAGCTGCTGGGGTCCCAGCTCACTGGCTACGACTGTTCCTAAGCCATCTCTGCAGGGCAGCAAGAGTATCTGTAGCCCCTCCCTCTACTCCAAGTGTCGCCTGGCCCCCTGTGGGCCATTAGAAACCCTGAAGAGCTAGAAGGGGTGGGATTGAGGGCTTTCATATTCATATTCATTTACGTACAGTTGCATGTCTTCAAAACTCTTAAGAAGAGCTTTTATTATAACAGGAGGAAAATTAGTCTCTTACTAAAGAACACCTCCCCTCACTACACCCAAGACAGGGTTTCTCTACGTAACAGCTCCGGCTGTCCTGGAACTCACTCTGTAGACCGTGCTGGCCTTGAACTCACAGAGATCCGCCTGCCTCTGCCTCCCGAGTGCTGGGATTAAAGGTGTGCTGCCATCACCTCCTGACACAAAAGAAGCTTTTGAAAAGTAGCATTTCGAAGCCAAATCCCAGCACAGGTCAGCCTGGTTCACAGACAGCAATGGAGCAGCAAGTCCTGGAGGCACTGTGTAAGGTTTGCTTTTCCACCAGAAGACCTTCCCCCTGTAGGACAGACCGCGCAGACGGAGAGGTAATGCCGATTTCTTCCTGGTCAGGCCAGGACTCTGCAAAGTCCAAGGAATTACTGTGTGGCCCTGTCTACCGAAGCAGAAGAGTCTTAACACAGCTGCCTACTAGAACTTTCTGGAGCCCTTCCATAAACACACTGATGTTGGACCTCTAGGATGCTCAGAGGGTAGCGTGCCTGCTGGGCAAGCTGGAGGACCAGAATTCAATGCCAAGGAATGTAAAAAACCAGGCACATGGTGCTTGTGATCCCAGCACTGGGGAGCCTTACTGTTAAGTTCCAGGTCCCAGTGAGACTGGGGGGGCGGGGGAAGAGGAAAGGAAGAGAAGGAAAAAGGAAAGGAAGTTAAGGGAAAGGGGAGGAGGAGGAGAGGGGAGGGAAGGAAAGGGAAGGAAAGGGAAGGAGAGGAAAGGAAAAGAAGGTGGACTGTTTGGTGGAACACCACCTTAGCCTCTGGCACACATATGGCCCCCATATCCTCTCCGGATGCCAAGATACACCCCTTCCATTAAACTAGATTTGCCAGGGGTAGGATTTTGGCAGCAGTGTTTGCTAAACATCCTCAAAGACCCCGGCATGCAGCAGGCGAGAATCACTGAACCCCAGGGACAAAAAACAAATGTCCTCGTGGTCCTCAGAGGGAAGGCACTGCTCAGACTCCTCGTAGGACCTGGGACCCCACGGCTCAGCTTTCTCTCTGCAGCGAGTCTGAGAAGTGACGGCTGCCACCCTTGCCTCCTCTCCAGACACACGAGACTGCAGAGACGTGGTAGGACCAGGAAGGGTTACAGCTTTCATTCTTGAAGAAGAATTGTCCCGAGAAAGCGAGCCTGCTGCCAGTTGGCTCTGTGTGACTTTTTCTTTCATACTGTTTTTAGAACGTCGGGATTTATGGCCACGGGTGATTTGTACTGACCCAAGGGAGACCATTGAGGGATTAATCTAATTAAACAAAGACAAAGGGATAGATGGAAACTTGGTTCTAGAAGAATGACTTCTTGTTTCCTGGCAGCGACCCCTTCCATCTGAAAAAGAGTACAGATGTTTTTGGACAATTCCTCACACTTTTGAAAAACAATTTTTATCCCCCCCCACCCCCATGGACTTCACTGGAGGGTGAGGTAACGACTCAGGGGCATGGGAGAGGCCGTGTTATCCTGGCACGGCCTTCCGCCTCCCCTGTCCGTCTGCCCCAGCTACGGCTTGTGATTTCAGTCGGGCGTCATCTCATCCAAGACTTCCTCCTCCGGGTCCTGCGGCCATCACCGATTCCTCCCGGTGCTGGAAGCCTGGCCACACATCTGCCTGACCCGGTGGAGCATGAACTTGTTTCTTCCATCTGATTCCCCAGAGCCTCCTGCATTGTCCCCGTGCTCGTGTTTCATAAACGCTCGTGGCCGAAGGTACGTAGACCAAGCTCCATGTGCCCCGCCTGCCAACGAAGATGTCCCCAATTCCCCGAAACCCTTTCATCCAACAGAAATGAGATCCTGGGAAGGTGAGGGAGATGGAAATGAGATTCTCCACATCTCCGTGTCTCTCTTCATCCTCAGCACAACGCACTCGGGTCCAGGATGTGTGGGTACCAGTTTCTAGTTTGGGGTACCAGGAACACTGTCATGATACACAGGGAATCTGTGTCTAGCTGTCTGCACCCATTACAGTGCCTGACACATTGGAGTTGCTCAACAAGTACTTGTCGGATAAATAAGTACACAAATCCTACATCTGTGTCACACAAACAACACAGGCTTCTTGGGTGTTCCTAATTTATTTTAACCTGGGCTGTAGACTCAGAGAGGGGCTGAGCCAACACCCAGAAGTGTGGGTGTTCTTGTGGTGTTTGGATCAAACCATGAGTGCCATCTTTAATTTCCCTTTCAGATTAGCAGAGGGTGGTCCCAGAAACTTGGAATTCGTGGGTGCCCTGCCCCCCCCGCCTCTTATGTGCCCTTCAGATCCAAGCAACACTTTGGTACTTGTGGTTTGAAAGAAAATGGTTCCCATAGGGAGTGCTGATGGGGAAGTCCTGTGTATATGTCAATAAAGCACTGTTGGCCAATAGGAAAGCAAGATGGGTGGGACTAGGAGTCCAGGAGGACTCTGGGAAGGAGAAACACAGGGAGTCACCATGTAGCTGTCATAGGGGTAAGAAGTCCGGACCCTTTTCTCCGGTAAGAGAAATACTTAGATTAACAATTATGGCATAAATACTTAAGTCAGAGCTAGCCAGTAAGAAACAAGCAAATGGCCAACAGCTTCATAATTAATACAGCGTCCTGTGTGTTATTTGGGGACTACAACGCGGCAGAGCCCAGGCGACTGGTGGGGAAAAACCAAAGCATCTGACAAGGAAAATGCTTCTCTTTACAGAGTGGCACTATTTGGAGGCATGGCCTTGTTGGGGGAAGCGTGTCACCGTGGGGGCGGGCTTTGAGGTCTCCTCTGCTCAAGCTACACTCGAGAGTGACAGACGCCTGCTGTTGCCCGAGGATGGAGGTGTAAACCAACTCTCAGTGCCTTCTGCCTGCATGCATGCTGTCACGTTTCCCACCATGAAGATAATGGACCAAGCCTCTGAAACCGTAAGCCAGCCCTAATGACGTGTTTCCCTTGATAACAGTTGTGGTCATGGTGTCTCTTCACGGCCACGGAACCCTAAGACAGTGTTCTTTGCTGCTATTCTTTAACCTCCCCTGCCAAGAGGAGCCAGGATCAACTCAACAACCAAGGTAATCCGTTACCTGGCCGGCTGGCGTCTAGTCTAGCCTAGAACAGTCTGCCCGGCATACGTAATGGCTTCCCGCTTCTCCATCATGACATCCAAAACCTACATGGGACAGAGTACCAGACAATTACCCGGCCCCTCTCCTGTCTTAGCTCAAACTGCTCGACTGTTCCTGCTTTATCTGTACTGTCCTCCTTATCTTCCAAATCAAGCTTTCTCCCGCCCCAGGACTTCTGCACACCCCATTCTTTTTTTTAACCTCAAATGCTCTCACCCCCTCCTTGCCTGCCTTTTGCCTACCCAATTCTTATGTATTCCTTTGGGACACATCTTAAAGTAATGTTTTCTGAGGCGACTTCACCTGTCACTTGCTAAGTCCCTCCTGGCAGTTTCCCCTCTGCAGTTTTCGACACGCTAATGATATCATGCTTAATTTGTAGGTGACACGAACCTACCCTGCCTGTCACACAGGGCAAGACGCGTCCTCATGACTGTTCGTTTGACTCCGCACTACAGCTCAGCCGTCTAGCATGGTACCAGGTATGTTTGTGAATGGCAGAATTGGTCTACTCGTTCATTCAGGAATTTTTTTTTACTGCATTAAGGAAAGCAATAGTGAATCCAACAGACTAAGAAAAAAAATCCCTAACCATCACAAGCTGAGAGTCTACTCCGGAATCCGTTGGTGTGCTGGAGTCAGGACACCCAGAACAGGTGATGGGCATTTCTTCCCAACTCAGCATCCCCGTGAAGCTACGCTGGCAGCATGAAATGGCCACAGTGGGAGTGTTTACACTAGGGGCATTGGTGGACATGGCAAGCCAGAGCCTTTCTGTCTAGAAAGACAGTTAAACACTGACCAGCATATCACAGACGAGGGGCCCAACGACACTGTGTGGGAGAAGCGTGTGGCCCGGAGTGGGTGGTAACGAACGCCAGTGTCCTCATTTCCTGTCTTGAGGCGGGATGGAGAAAGGTCTGCTTGACACAGGCATGACCTTAAAGACAGGATTTGCCCAAGTCGCAATTCCATAAAGACTGTTTCATTTTATTGGGTACTTAGGGGACACTTCAGACAGGGATATTACATCTACGAGATATTTTAAAAGTCTCTTTGGCTAAGTTCGGTCTGCTAAATTGGTCAGATACAGCCACACTGGCATTTTTTGAGCTTGTAATAAACGACCAGGCCAGATTCAAGCTTCATCTCTCTGTGGGGTGGGGGGGGGATGTTAGTAGGGGGTGGGGGAGTGGGCAGCTATTAGCACACAGCCTCGGTCAGCATAACTTGCTTGTCTCTCATCGGTCCCGGAGAATTTTACTGGAGTGGCTGGCTGCAAGCACAGGTGAAATCAATTAGCTAGGGTGAGCTAGCAATCCACCCATACGGTCTCCCTGGAGGGTCACATGCACCCTGGATTCGTTTCCCTTCATTCATATCCAGATCTTGTTCTGGGTCTCAGCCCGGAGAACTCGGGATGTGCCTCTCCTTACCTTGGAGGAGGGGAGCCTGAGGCTGTGGTTGCCTGGCTCACCCCACCCAGGGCTTAATCAGACGGCTCTTGTGGGCATTTCAGAACGTTAGGCAAGCCACAGCGCATGCTAGTGACCGGTGACAGCTCAATTTCTCCTTTGGAGTTGAAGCGAATGAACATCTACACTAGGCATGCTGGTTGTTGTTTTTTTTAATAGTTCCTCCTTGTGTTTAACCCAAGACGAAGAAGTCAGAAACTGTTTACCACAGCAAGATAGAGGAGAGAGCTAACATAGCTGTGATTTCGATCCTCTGGCAACATGGCGGGGGGTGGGGGGGTTGGGGGGTGGGGGCGCGGTTGTGTCTCTGCCTGCCTAACCTAAAAGCTTACAACTGGGTTAGAGATCTACAAAGGCAAGTCAAACCCAAGCCCACAATTTGGGGACTGTCCCCTTTCTTTCGGCGTGCCTGAAGGCACTAATCTTATTTTGACAGCTGCAGTTTGGATTTTAAGACTCAACAGTAAATGTGAGTCATCAGCCTTGTGCAGTCTCTGCTCAAAGAAACAAAATGAACCCAAAGTCCCAGAGCAAACAAAGCTGCCCTCTCCAGCAAGCCCCAGCTGGGTCTGATTCTTTCTCCCCCAGAAGTCTTTGAATCAAGTCTCCTATTCACTTGCAAGATTTTGGGTTCCTTTGGGGATAAGGAAAGCGAGAAGGGGAAGTCTCCAGAACGAAATACTAAAACCCAAGGGGCTAGAAAGGTGGCTCGGCGATTAAGAATAGGACCCAGCATCCCCACGGTGGCTCACAAACAGCTTTAATTCTAGTTCCAGGAGACCTGGAGCTCCCTTCTGGCCTCCACGGGCACCAAGGACACAAAGTCATGCACAGACATAGCTTTAGGCCACAAATGTACACATTAAAGAAAAGACCCTGGAGTGAATGAAGTAATCAATGAAATCATACTCCATCGTGTGACAGTAGCGCTTTTCTTTTCTTTTTTGGTTTTTTGAGGCAGGGTTTCCCTGTATTGTTTTGGAGGCTGTCCTGGAACTCGCTCTGCAGACCAGGCTGGCCTCGAACTCACAGAGGTCCGCCTGCCTCTGCCTCCCGAGTGCTGGGATTAAAGGCCTGAGCCACCAACGCCTGGTGAAAGTAGCGCTTTTCAATATTCCAAAGTTATCACATCATCATGGTTTTCACACACACACACACACACACACAGACACACACACACACACACACACAGAATCCACAGGTGGTTTGTGGGCCCTGCTGGGAGGTCCTGACTTACCAGGTCTAGGCAGGGCAGGGAACCTGCATTTCCTACAATCTGCTGCCTAGACAGCCATGCTGCCCTCCTGGGGAACCACACTTGTGGAAGCCCAAGTCTGGTGCCTGTGGGAGACTGTGACACAGAGCAGCAGCACAGGGTTCAGGCTCGTCCCCCCCCCGGAATCTTTTCAAAACTAGCGTTGTTTCGTGTTTAGTCAGTTCGGTTCTCCCATGGGACTTTTTTTCTTCTTTGCCCCAGATTTCTTCTGTTTTCAGCTCTGTGCCCAAGACAGCCAGAGTTGCAGACGGCGATGCACACGCATGGTCTCTCAATGCTAGGCTCGGCAGACAGGGTTAGGAAACTGGGCAGCAGGATTTGCCCTTCCCAGCCCTTGTTCTGAGTATTCATATGGGAGCTGTAAGCGGAAGCTGGGTCACTGTTCGGCTTCTGCAGTTGATGCCCGGGTCGCTTGCCCTCCCTGCTGTGTGTGTGTGTTGTCTGTCTGTACAATCGTCTGTCTTGCTCACTCTCCCACCCCTTGTCCCTTCTCCTGCCCGTGAACTGCTTCAACATTCCCTCCCCAACCCTCACCTTCCACGCACCCTCTCCTTCCTCTAGGATTATCTCAATATTTAAGGTCAATAACCACCAACAAATATGCCCGGGCCCAGCCTTTCCCTTGAGCGATAATCTTCCTTCTCTAGGCACTTGTGTGGCCTAGCTCCCGGACCCCACAGTTTGGTTCTCAAAACCATGTTTCTCTGTGGAGAAATCCGTCAGCCTCCATACTACTACCCACCCACCAACCCTACTTTACGGCATAAAGACATCCTTGGGACAAATTGTTGCTGCAGTCCAGCTCATTCTGCAGGCATTAAGTGGTGCTCACGGAATCAAACCATATCCTGCACCGCATGGGGGGCATTAAGGAGAGCTACAAATGATAAGTTTCTTAAGCCTCGCGTATACACGAGAAGGCCCAGTGAAAGTACCCGCCCACAGGAAGGAGCACAAAGGGGGAAGAGGAAATGAGCGGCATCTTTGCGTCATTACCTGCCTTGTAGTGCAGAGCACACATTAATGTCGCACCCAACTGTGACTTTACTATGCAGGACTAATTGCAAGTTTGCCCTTGACGGGCATGTACCGCTCCTCCAGTCATCAGAGACACAGCTGGAGCCCTGCTTGAGTTTCCGTGTTCCAGCTCACATGTTCCTCTTCTGATCCCTCGGCACCTCAACCAAGCCTTTCCCCGTGAGCCACCCAGTCTAGTCCGAGACTCTCTGCATAATCTCATTTTCTCGTAGCTTTTTGCCTGAGTGCCGCTTACCTTCTTAACGCTCGCTGTGATTATAACCTAGCTTTGTTGTGTTGCAATTCGGTGTTGACAAATTACATACAGCACAGTCTCAAGCTGGGGGGCGGGGCTGAGGCAGAAGAATTGTGCCTATGACACAAGACTGGGCTACACGTGAAGAACGCATCCCAATAAAAAGACAAGAATAAGGAGTGTACATTGAGAAGCTGGGCCTACCAACATGTCATCAGTACAATCAGGATGGCAAACATAATCATCAGTTCTTTTTTCTGTTTTTAATTTTATATGCATTGGTTTTGCTTGCATGTGTGTCTGGGTGAGGGTGTTGGGCCCCCTGGAACTGGAGTTACAGACAGTTGTGAGCAGCCATGGGTGTTGGGAATTGAACCTGGGTCCTCTGGTAGAGTAGTCAGTGCTCTTAACTGTCGAGTCATCTCTCCAGCCTATCATCAATTCTTTATTCATCCTGTAACCCCCTCCTCTTGGTCTCAGGGCAATTACTGATGTGGCCCTCTGTCAGTATGGATTGGATGACATTTTCTAAGATTCTATAGAAATGGGGCTGGAGAGGTGGCTCAGCCGTTAAAGGCTAGGCTCGCAACCAAAAAAAAGTAAGGTTCTACAGAAATGGAATTACACAGCAAGTGTTCCATTTAACATCTAGTTCCTTTCGTGTGGCTGGGTTACACTGAGATACACTGGCTGCGGAATTCATTCCTCATCGCTGTGCTGTATGGCCACGTGTGCCTGAGCACAGTGTGTCGCACATTCACTCAACGGAGGACGTGTGAGTGGGTGTGAACACTTGTGTCCAAATCTTTAGACGTGACTCACTTCTTTGGGTTAACTACCAAAGTGGAATGGTAGGGTCCTATTAGGTACACATCCAGGCTTCACACTCTTACTAGCGGTATGTGGTGGTCTGAGGGATAACGCCTCCCCCCCACGCCCAGTAGATTCACACACATATGAATGCTTGGTCCCCAGGTCCCCAGGAAGTGGAACTGTTTGGGAAGGATTAGGAGGTGTGGCCTTGTTGGAGAAAGTATGTCACTGGGAGCTGGCTTTGAGATTTCAAAAACCCATGCCATCTCCAGTTACCTCTCTCTGACTCTTGCTTGTGGATCAAGGCATAAGGTCTCTGCCAATGATCCGTTGCCGTGCCTGCCTGTCTGCTCTCATGTGCTCTGACACGATGGCCATGGTGTAAGCATTCAGACATCTGCACTGGCCTGTCCGAGGGGTCCTGACAGGACACGCCCTCAGCTGCAGCCACTAAGAGCACCACCTGTGCACATTCACTGTGTTCCCTTTTAAAAAGGCCCTGCCCACCTCCCACTCTTCTCTCTCTCCTCCTCTTTCCTCTCGCCTGCTTCTCCTGTCTCTAGAGGCCAGTCTTCACTCTCTCCTTTCCCATTTTTATGATCCCTTTCCCTAATTAAAAACAAAACAAAACAAAAACCTCTGCTC